CATCTCTCCACTCCCTTCCAGCCCCCTATAACACTAGGAACAAGGAAATTCGCTTCCTTCTTCCAAAGGCTACACTCTGAAGAAGAATCAGTTCAGAAACATGGGCCTGATCTTCATATTCATTGCAGGAATCTCATTAACTACCACAAGAAATCAGAGCCCCAAAAAATCAGAAGGGTGCTGAAAAGACAGACAGAAATGGAGATCACGGTGTTTGGTGGCCAGAGAGGGGCCCGACAGAGATTCCCCTGGGGACAAAGGAAAGCAAAAATTATCTTTATCTCTCAGCCTAGTGATGTGTCCTCTACTCTTCCTTTGTGTACATGAGGAGTAGAAAGAGCAAATATTCTACCATCTAAAAGAATGCTAAGCTACTGGGTTGCAGCAAGCTGTGATTGGCTTCTCTCACAGCAAAACAAATAGGGGAATTTGCATGTGAATGAGAGACCTCTTCTAAAAAAAAAGGACTTTGTTGTACCATTAGATTGTTCATGGAATGAAGATAATAATCTTGAAAACAAATTCTGGAGATCACAAACACTTGAGATTTGTCTCCAGCTGCTCTTGAGATATTTAATCTTTGTCCCTGGTTTATTTGTTTGTTTTATATCTTTTTGATCTCTACCTTGGAACAAAAAAAAAAAAAAAAAAAAAGTTGTACAATAATGCCTTATAGTCTATGGCATATTCCATTTCAGGATCCTAACAAAAGGCAAGTAATAAGATATATAGGAATAGTTTCAACTCTGGGTTGCAATGGAAAAACTTCAGTTTCCTGTGGCAAAACTGAACAGAATAGTTTAGAAGAGAAAGAATAACAAAACAAACACTGAGTGCTTGAGAAATCCAGGTAGGCAGTCAGCAAGATCCTTCAGTAACCTCAGTCTGCCATGCAACTCATCTACAGAAAGAGTTTTAGGGGTTATATAGTGACCCATAGACTCTCTACCAATGTACGTGTCCTAGAATGTAGGGTATGGCAGATAAGCTCTGGGGAATCTTGCTGTGGTGTTCAACCCACAGCCACTTCACAGAGTTTCTCTAGATCTTTTGTGACCACCACTGCTCCAGCAGGGAATGGCAAGGGCTGTGTCCTGGCACTTCAGCTTCTCCAGTTCTTAAGCCTAGCCCGTAATTTTGAATGTGTCTTTGTCAGCAGTTTCCATTAAGAAATTTATCTGAATCTTGAGCACACATTCCTCTTGGTCAGCTCTACTACAGCCGTTATGACACCTTCAAGCACCAAAGCAAGTTTGCCCAGAGGTTTGAGGCATTTGCTTTGTTTCAAGGCTGAGACAGATCACATTGCTGTGATGATCCTGACTGTGAAGGTCCTGCTTGACTAACCTAATCTCCTTCTATGACAAGGTGACCCACTTAGTGGATGAGGGAAAGCCTGTGTGTGGCACCTGGACTTTAGTAAAGTCTTTGACACCATTTCCCATAGCATTCTCCTGGAGAAACTGGCTGCTGATGGCTTGGACAGGTCTACTCCTCCCTGGGTAAAAAAACTGCCTAGATGTCTGGGCCCAAAGAATTGTGGTGAATGGAGTTAGGTCCAGACTGCAGCCAGTCACAAGTGGTGTTCTCCAGGGCTCAGTATTGGGGCCAGTTCTGTTTAGTATCTTTATCAGTGATCTGGATGATGTGATCGAGTGCACCCTCAGTAAGTTTGCAGATGGCACAAAGTTGGGCAGGAGTGTTGATCTGCTTGAGGGTAGAAAGGATCTATAGAGGGATCTAGACAGGCTGGATCAATGGGTCGAGGCCAACGGTAGGAAATTCAGCAAGACTCAGTGCTGGGTCCTGCACCTGAGTCACAACAACCCCACACAATGATACAGGCTTGGGGAAGAGCGGCTGGAACGATGCCTGGTGGAAAAGGATCTGGGGATGTTGGTCGACAGCTGGCTGAATATGAGCCGGCAGTGTGCCCAGGTGGCCAAGGCCAACAGCATCCTGGCTTGTGTCAGAAATAGTGTGGCCAGCAGGACTAGGGCAGGGATCGTCTGTCTCCCTGTACTCGGCACTGGTGAGACCTCACCTTGAACACTATGTTCAGTTTTGGGCCCTTCAGTGTAAGAAAGACAATGACGTGCTGGAGCGCATCCAAAGAAGAGCAACAAAGCTCTGTGAGAAGCAGCTGAGGCAACCGGGGTTGTTCAGTCTGGAGACAAGGAGGCTGAGGGGAGACCTCATTGCTCTCTACAGTACCTGAAAAGAGGCTGTAGCAAGGTGGGTGTCAGTCTCTTTTGCCAGGTAACAAGCGATAGGATGAGAGGAAACAGCCTCAAGTTGTGCCAGGGGAGGTTTAGATTGGATATTAGTAAACAATTTCTTCAAGAGTTGTCAAGAGGGTAGGCATGTACCTCTGCTAGGCTCCTTGTACAGCTAGGACAGAGTAAAAAAGTAAGGCAATATTAATCTACTGTGTAACCATAGATAAGCCACTTACTACCTACCTTAGGTTACAACCACACTCCCAAACTGTGACATGTCATGGGGTCATGTCCTCAACTAATGGTTATACTGGCCCACCTTCCCACGTATGCGCAATTTTAACCTGCAGAAACCTCTTTTGTTAAGTTTACTGATACTTTATGCTGTTGAAGAAGATGGCTTATATGCGTTGCTAAATCCTTTGTTGTCCTGGTTTGGGCTGGAATAGGGTTCTTGTCCATTTTCGGTAGCTGAAGGAGTGCTGATGCACACTGAGATTTCAGGGACTCTCCAGCTCCGCGTGCCCTGCCTGTGCGCAGGCACACGAGAATCAGGGCGGGAACACGGCTGGAGCGCCGGGCCCGGATTGGCCGATTTTTCATGTCATGTGATGTTACGCTCACCATATAAAGGAGGGGTGGGCGGGAAGGCATGGGCTCTCACTTCCGGGATTGCAGTCGCGGCATCTTTGTGTTTCGGGATTGCTGGCCAGGAGCAGGCGGCTGTCGGTCAGCGGGTAGCGAGCAACTGTATTGTACATTACCCGTTTATACTGTCACCGTATTATTACTCTTATTAAACTGTTTTTATGTCAACCCGCGAGTCTCCCTTTGCCTCTCTGATTCCCTCCCCATTCCCAAGTAGGGGGAAGGTCGGTGAGCGGCTGCGGGATGTCTGGCTGCTGACCAGGCTCAAACCACGACATTTGTGCTGGTATAAACTGCATGGTACTGTGCATTCTATAGAAAAATTGGGAGCTCAACACTTTTACAGACTTGGTACGATGGTAAATAGGTCCACGTTAACAGAACATTATACAAATTGCAATGTATACTTGTAGAAATAGCCTGCTGAGAGACACCTCTGGCAGAGATTATGTTTTCTGAGATAGAAGTTACCTCACTGAGACCACAGCGATCTTGACAGTAGGCACTGCAAGCAACATGGGCTTTAATGAAGATTATTCATGCAGTTTGCACTGCTGGGGGGCTTCTCAGAATAGCTACATGAGTACACATGTGTTCACATGTGTGGACCAAACCTCCTTGGCACCAAGAGGGATGTGAGTTTAACAGTGTAAGTGCAAGGGCCACAAAGGGAAGAGATGAAGAAAACTGGTCATTCGCTGTCTTTTTAAATCAAGTATTTTGAACTTTGATATCCTTAGACTTTCTGCCACTTAGCCAAGGTATGTTCAAAATATGTATTTATACACGTACAAGTCTGTATGTGTGGATATACATATGTACATACAATTTGATCACTTAATTTTCTTCTTCAACTGAGGGAAAAGAGAAGCTGAACTGAAATAGTTATTGCACTGTAGAGGGGCCATTCAGCACAGTGATTATACAAACTAAGTGGAATTCTCCTTTTTGACAGTATGCTAATTAAGAAATAACCATATGGTGATCTTAGAAATCCTGTTCCTTGACTATGGACTGCTGTCAACTACTGTGGAGTTTTGCATGCTCTATGATAATTATGAAGCAACTACGAAGTATTATATAAAACACAGGGGCACAATCAGTCAAATGACAGAAGAGGTGATAGCAAGAATGACATATGCAAAAGTAACTGCACAATGTTCTACTTCACCTACTAATAAATTGAGACAAATTAATATCACATCATAAAGTTATGCACTACAGTGTCTGTTTTCTTAAATCATGTAGTGCTTCTATGCTAGTGCCTCTAAGTGGCAGAGTTTCTGATCGGTTTATGTGTATGGGTGAGTGGGTAAGAGAAATTTGTTTCAAGGATGGTGCTTTGGTTTTCTAGTCTCTTTCAGCGTGGTTCAGTTATTTTATTGGCTGAGTTTTCTGTGTCTAGTTAGCTGCCGAGACTCCCAATTCCCTTAACATCTCCCACTGGTGTACTCTAAAAAGCCAAAACATATCCTTAAATTATTTAGAAATTTAGAATATAGTTGGATGGAAGACACTATACATAACAAAATATCAAGTACTTCTTTCTCTATATTAACAAACATTAACTTACCAAGAATACTCAAGTTACTTATGTAAGAGCTTCTAAAATTTACCTCAGAAATATTTTGGTTGCATGTCTTATCCGATCAATACATTTGCTTAATCCTTTGTGTAACTGAGAATGCCCCTTTTCCAGTGAATATGTAAGGTTTTATTTTCATCCATGCTGAAGTAGATGTGTGCCATTTTAAAAAACCAACTTAATCTCTCCTGAATGACTCCTAGGTCATCCCCTTCTCTGAACCTACTTGCTGACTCTTAAATTGCTCATGCTCACATATTAGGTAAGAGGAACAGAAGGGATGTCAGAAACAAATGGATATGAATAAAGTAGAACAAAACACAAGGGTGGAAAGAAACTGAAAAAAGCCACCCCCGATAATAATTTTCTTCTGGAATGAGGTTGTAAGACAGAGCGATAGATGTTATTTAAGAATGAAAAAGGGAGTTCTGACTGTTGGTTCAGTCATTGATTTAACAGGGGCACACTCTGGTTAGGTGGACTAAGCTGACACCTGACCCTGTTCTATGATGGTGCACACTGACAGAACAAACATCTGTATTTCTCACCTTTATAAATCTGGCCCTCTCCAAAGCAGCGTCTGGATCACTAACCACCTTTCACCACTGTCAGCTTGAATAATTGAGGGTGTCACCCAAGGTTCGCTTTGCTCACTTTCATGGAAGAAGGCTGGGTCTCATATGTTGTAATCATCTTTTTGAGCAGGACTTCCGACTATTTTAAAAGTGAACAGACAGAGCCTGTGTAAGTGGAATCTTTGCTGAGGAAATATTGAGGAAAAAGCACAGATTAATTATTCTTCATTCACTCGACAGGCTGTTAGTCGCATGCAAGAAGCCGTAGGGCAAGAGAGAACGCACGGCTACCGAAGGGTGCACTAGGCCCCCGCTGCCAGCGCAGGAGAACGCCGCCAACCGCGGGGCCTTCCCACAGCCGCGGGCACCCCCCAGGGAACGGGGAGCGGCCTCGGCAGCGCCGCTACGCCGGCGGCTCACACGCACCCGGGGCCGCTCGGAACGAACAGCGGCCCGGCTGCCCGCCGGGGGCCGCGCCCCGAGCTCTCGGGGACCCCGCCGTTCCCACACGGAAGGGCCGGCCCGCAGCGCCTCGCACCGCTCCCCCTCACGGCGGGCGGGCCGAGCTCCCCGGGAGGGCAAGCAGCGGGGGCGCGGCCAGCGGCCCTCCGCAGCGCCACGGCCAGCCCCGCCGGCGGGCCGGGCGAAGCCAGCTCCCCCTCGGGCGACGGGCTGGGGGCGAGGCCCGGCTGCCGGCGTGGCGTGGCGTGGCGTGGCGTGGAGGGGCCGCGGCCCCCCCCGGCCCCGGCCCCGGCCCCGTCCCGCCCCACCGCCCTGCCCTTTGCCCGGCCCCCGCTCTCGGCCAATCGGGCGGCGCCCTGTTGGCTGTGCCCGGCGTCCCGCAGCACGGGTCAAGATGGCGGCGCGCGCGCAGCGGGGCGGCCTGGCGGCGGCCTTCCTTGCCGGTGCCCTGCTCACCTTCGGCCGCCTGCCGCTCGTTCCCGGCGAGGCGGCGGCAGGCTCGGCGGGGGCCCTCCCGCACCGCCGCTTCGAGTACAAGTACAGCTTCAAGGGGCCGCACCTGGTGCAGGCGGACGGGACGGTGCCGTTCTGGGTGCACACGGGCAGTAAGTGCCGGGCGGGGGGCGGCGGCGGCGAAGCGCGAGCGGGGCCGGGCCGGGCCGCGCCGCGCCCTGTTCGTGCCGCACAGGCGGCTGCGGCCGGGCCCGCGGCGGCGCGCAGTGCCCGTGTCTGGTGGTAAGAGGTGCGGGTGGGAGGGAGCAGCCGCAGGCGGGGCCCGGCGGGACCGCTCAGCCGTGTTTGGTTCTGGGGCCGCCGCGGGATGGGGAGGAAGCGGCGGGGGCTGCTGCGGCTGCCGAAGGGGAGACAGGCCGCGCTCCCCCCCGCCCCGCACCGTCTCCCTCCCTCCCTCCCTCCCTCAGTAGAGCCGCCGGCCGGGCCCCCGCGCCCCTGGGCCGTGCCCGCGGCTTTCCACGTAGCTCCAAAGGGACAGAGGGGATACTGTGGTAGAGATAAAACGAATGCAGATCCTCCCCCGGTTTCCTCGGCGTGCGGTTCGAAATTATCTGTGACCTTTCTTGTGGTGTGGTAGCTCCCTTGCTGTGAGGAGTTGGCTCAAGACGGTACGAAACTCTTTTTTGTGAAGTGATGATGTGTCACTGTTGGTCAAAATGAAAGTCAGCCTCACACCAGTATGGTGTACCTGAGACAAGCTGATGATAGTTCTGTATGGCTAGAAATGCTGTTCAATTTCATAATATAAAAGCTTGAAATGGAAAATTGTGCCATGGCAAATACGACTTTATTGAATGTAGCTTACCCAATTTATGTATCCTCTGCGGTATGTGTTAAGGATTTGATTGTACTCAAAAGGGCATATAGTCTTCTATAAGTTCCCTGCCTTGTAAAATGTATTGATATTTACCATACATAAAGTTTTACCGTAGTATAGTTTCTCTGTAGTAACTTCTGCTGCGTTTTTATTTTTTGACAGACTTTAATTTAGTTTATCTTGGTTAATTCATAAGTGTTAAATTTTGGTTCTTATTTAACATTTTGCTGCAAGTGACATGAAAGAAACTCTCTATATATGAACTTTTTTTCCTGCTTTTTAAAGCAGATTATAACAAAAATAAATGTAATTTAATACAAGTGAATGAATTTCTCTGCTTTTAAACTATGAAATAAGAAATTAGAACATCTTTTAAAAAAGCAGAACAGAAACCTCTGATTTCTGAAGTCATGTGGGATACAGCCAAAAGGTGAACCTGTTTGTTTTTTTTTTTTTTTTTTTTTTTTTTGTTTTTTGTTTTTTTTTGTTTGTTTGTTTTTTTTTTTTTTTTTAATTAATTTGATACTTTTCTTAGCAGCAGGATCAATATTCTTTTTAAGTTGTATATTGTGGTCCCAAATAGAGGGTGATTAAGTCTTCTGTAAACCAGTAGTAATCAAGTTGTTGAAAGTAAAGGTGTTGGGGTTTGTGTTTTTGTTTTTTTTTTTTTTCCTTTAAGTACTCCACTAAAAAGTTATTTTGAAAACAGTTCTCTAGTTGAGGAGACCAGAAAACTTTACAAGTTTAGATTTGTTAATTGGCTAGTTAAACACTTGCAATATTTTCTCTTTCGTGTATTCAGTGTTGGCTCCTTTCCTTTCTAGATGCCATACCAAGTGCAGATCAGATTCGTATAACAACATCTTTGAAAAGCCAAAGAGGGTCAGTGTGGACAAAAACCAAGTCAATATTTGAATATTGGGAAGTCGAAGTGACGTTTCGAGTTACAGGAAGAGGCCGCATTGGAGCTGATGGATTGGTATTAAGAATTTTATCGAACTGAAAAGAAATAGACATGCTTTAAGAAGTGAATCTTGACTTACGACTCTTACTTGCTTTCTGTAATAGGCAATCTGGTTTACAGAAGATCAAGGCTTGGAAGGTCCTGTTTTTGGGGCAGCTGATAAATGGAACGGTGTTGGAATTTTCTTTGATTCCTTTGACAATGATGGAAAGGTTAGTCGGAAGCAAACTCTTCTAGGAAAGTTTATAAATTAATTTCCTGCCTGTTTTGTACCCTAACTTTGTGGAAAAAAATAGGATGTTATTTTCCTACTCTTCCCCCTTTATTTCAAAGGGATACAATAAAATAGTTAAGTTTCCCTTATAGAATTTTTACTACACTTTTTCACACTACTTTTTAAAGCTTGAAAGTTGAAGCATGACACATAATGAATCTCCACTGAACACTGGTTCGTGTATAAGGTTTGGAGCGAAAATATCGTGTATATACGTACAAGCTGAAATTTGGAATGTCCATCCATAATTTGAAATGTTGATACATCTGAAGATGTGTGATTTGGAAGAGGCATGTTGTAGCAAAATAGGACACTGTGGAAACAAAAATTTCTATGTCTGTCTTCAGAGATGCTTTTTTTCTTGGAACAAATCTGCCTTAAGTAGTTCAGCAAAAATTCTGTAGCAGATGGAGGTGACAGTTGCTGTTTTGAATTTCCAGTTTTCCAGTCCAGAATGATCCTGGGAAACTTTAACAATACATAATAGATCTGCTTTGCCTTTTTTTGCTTTTACTGCACTACTTTGGCTTGCCTTTAGATATATTTTTGTAGGTGTATAATCTTTTTTCCTACAGGTGGCTTTTGATACACAGTAAACTTATCATATATAAGAGTTGAAAGACTGAAGGTGACTTTTATATTTCTAATCTTCAAAGACAGGATATATAGAATTAGAATGTTCAACTTACTAAGAATTTTTAAATCTCTTTTTTCTTCTGACTTCTGGCATGAATATGGACAGTGGCATAGTTTAACTGGCTGAAGATGCCATCTACCAAAAATTGCACTTGGACAGCACCGTTTGCCAGAACTTTGATAGCACTGGGCTGCTGATCGTGACAAGTTTAGTCAGTGTGGTGCGAAACCCTTTTTTAGAAAGTAATGATGTGTCACATCTAGTCAAAAGTCTTCGTCATGCCTGTATTGGTCTGATGTGTCTTAAATACTGGAGTGTATAAGACTTCTTTTAATCACAGTCTGTTACTTTCTTCATTCCCACTATGGAGAAATTCTTGTTGCTGTTGCAGTGTGTTTGGTGCTGTATCTGATCCTCAGCCTAGTATGTTAGCATCCAAAAGTAGACTTCACCTAGTACTGCCAACTCAAAGCACCCTGATTATGTTGCTGATTTAAAAACTGCAAACCCTTTTTTCCCTTCCTTCTAAGGCTGCAGGTCATATTAGAGTTGATTTTTTAATTTCTCTGTGTAGAAGTAGTGACAAGAGCTTTTTAAAAAGAGACATACAATTTCATAGCTCTGAACACCTGCAATTGTAAGAACCACACTATGTTACAGGAGTTTATAGTGCATCTTTCCTGTGACCTTTGGAGACAACAAAAAAAGTGAGAAGTTATTCCCTACCTTGGATTCTCTGCAGTCTTTGAAGTTCTTGTATGTGCTTGCATCCAGACACAATCCCCAGCAGAAATTGGACCACCCACAGACCATTAGCATTGAATACTTTTGGTAGTAGCTGTCTACTGTGCTCTGAGGTAGATTAGACTTGGGTTGCATTCATGAATGCTTTGAAATGGAAGTGTTTGTACACACTTGGTGCAGAATATATGCAAGTATGCTCTGAACTATTTCAATATTACTGTTGTTAAACTGAAATAAACAGTAAGAAGATGACATTAAAGTATTCCTGTTGTACTGAGTGGGTAACACTGAAGTTGAAGCAGTTAATCTAACCAAACTCCATTGCTGAGAAGTAGAAACACTAGTGTTACTTCTGTATGCTGGTGTACTGTTCCATTGGTCTCACAATCTGTGATGAAGGAAAAGAAACAGGATAGTTTGGTTGTAGTGGTTTTTTGAAAACAAAGGACCACTCTACCCCACCACTGTGAACTGAAGGACATTATTTGTTGCATTTTTGAAGTCTGGGTCTTGTTTTCTTAAGAGCTGTCAGTCTGTCTAGTGGGACAGTATATTCCTTTATGTAGTTGTTTAACCCCTGTAGGCAGCTATGCACACAGCTGCTTGCTCATTCTCCCCTAATGGCATGGGGGAGAAAATCAGAAGGGATAAATGAGAAAAATCATGGGTTGAGATAAAGACAATTTAATAGGTAAAGCGAAAGTTGCATGCTCAAGCAAAGCAAAACAGGGAATTAATTCACTACTTCCCATTGCTCAGCCACCTCCAGGACAGCAAGGCTCCATCATGCATAACGATGACTTGGGAAGACAAATACCCTAACTCTGAATGTCGCTCTCTTCCTCCTCCTTCCCCCAGCTTTTATTGCTGATCATGATACCATATGATCTGGGATATCCCTTAGTCATTTGGGGTCAGCTGTCTCGCCTGTGTCCCCTCCCGACTTGCTGGTGGGGGACCGTGAGAAGCAGAAAAGTCGTTGAAGCTGTGTAAGGAGTAACTAAAACGTTGCTGTATTATCAACAGTGTTTTCACTGTAAATCCAAAACAGAGCCCCATACGATATACTGTGAAGATAATGGACTGTAAACCAGTAATTTTTAATTAAACCGGTACACTTGAGAGGATGATGAATTGAAATGTTGAAGGGGGGAGGGAAAGAGAGATTAACTCTGAAATCTTGTGCTTTTGGAAAAACTGGAGTTTACTTTATAAACTTCTGGAGGCAACTGGAATAGCACTGTAAATCTGTTCTGCCGTTATCATTTTAGCTTGTTCTCACTCTCTAGCAATTTAAGTAACTGGGGACGTGTTCAACAGACTTTGTTTAGTCTGACAGATAGCTTCTGAGGTTTTTCTAATGACCGTGGCAAGGTCAGTCGGAAGTCAATGCTGTGTCTGCATGTTTTTCCCAGTTTTATATAGCCCAAGTTGGATGTATTAAGTCATGTATTAGTTTCAAGATCTGTATCGTCACTACATGTGAATTTCTCCGATCTGTGGCTTTTATATTTCTGTATTTGTCAAATTATGGTAATTGGGAGTATATCCAGGAACTTAATTTGTGTGGTTTTTCTCACCCCTAACTATGCAAAGAATGTATCAGTCTTGCAAAGCATGCAGCATAACACAGAGCTACTCAGTTGTTTTGCTTATGTAGACCTGAAGTACAGAAAGAATAGTAACATCTGTGGTGTATCCATAGTGTAATGACTTCAAGTACTTTATCGCAGAAAGGCTATTAGTGATGTTACTTATATTTCACTTCGAATTAAACTATTCCATTTGTTTGTGCTTTATTTTTCTAGAAAAACAATCCTGGAGTGATTGTTGTAGGCAACAATGGAAAACTTCTGTATGACCATCAGAAGTAAGTTTATTTTCAGTGTTTCAGTGTTAATGATGAACGTTTGCTTTTGAATGATGATGTTACATGAAACTCCATTAGAACCATTATAAAGGTTTCTTTCATATGAAACTTTGTTGTTTCCTTCACATTTGAGTTTTTCTATTTGTTAAAATACTGTTTTGGCAGTAACAGCACAGAAATTGGCAACTGATGGATATTTAAATGGCATATGTCCTTTGGGAGGGTGAACTCAGATAAATGGAGGTACAGATTTTCTACCTCTTCATTACTTATGGGCATCTTCTGCACACAGCTGATAACTGACAGCTAATTGCCTGTTACTAAAATGAATTGGTTTAATTTTGATTTCTGACTGTTTATTGTCAACAGCACAATTGACACTTTTGGATTCTCTAAGAGAGGTGTCTAGCTTAGTTGGTGTGGTCCAGACTATAGTTTATTTCCATCTCAGTTCACAGGTGTGGGAATATATCTTAGAAGCAAATAGATTTTCCCATTACTGCGTTCCATCTATATTGTGACCTGTGTAAAGCATCTAGTACTGTTGATCCCAAATTTCAGAAAAGCTCAGTGCATTTGTTGGGACAGCTTTTGAAAAACTTGCATATTGAAAAACTATGATGATATTGCTTAGTGATACATTGATGCTTTTTTGTCTTAGCTGATAAATCATAAGATATAGTTTTATGCAAGTTGTCTTCTTGCATAGTGATGGTTCCACGCAAGCGTTGGCATCGTGTCAGAGGGACTTTCGTAACAAGCCCTATCCTGTTCGAGTAAAGATAACGTACTATCAAAAAACATTGACTGTAAGTACTCTGAAATAATAGAATTACTCATGTTTCTCAGCTTTTTAGATGTGAGATTGTTGCAACTATGAAAGCTCAAAGACCCCATATGTTAATTCCGATGTTCTTGAAAATGTTGACCTCGGTAGCTGAAGTTGGAAGGAAGTGCAGTGTGTTCAAATGCTAGACAAGTTCTTTTAGCTACATTAGTGCATCTGTAGATTTCTGAGCTGACTCAGAAGGTACTATTGATTTTTCTGATGTTACTTAGGAGTCAGTCGTGCTAACATACACGTATGTGCTCTGACCCTTCTGTTGCTGTTGACTTGCCTGCAGAGGTGTTCCAAAGCCAGCATCTATTCCTCACCTTCCAAGTGGTTGAGCAGCCCCTTAACTTGAACAGTATTTCTCAAGCTGATCTGAGAGCTGCAGAGGGTTTGGTGGCTGATTGTAAGTTTCTTGAAATGTGCCTAAAAAATTGAAGCTCGCTCTTTGACAGTAGATTTAAATTTGCTACTAGAGGCTTCCCACCTCCAAGAAATAGTAGAGCTTTGAAAATTAAAGAAGATATAAAACCACTGGTATAAGGAAGTCTTCAACAGTTCTTAAAAAGTATTCATATGATCGTGAATTCCTTCTAGATAAGGAGAGAAAAAGACTAATGTGGTGCTGGGTTGTGACAACTATGAAGTGTGTGCTGCTTGGCTTCTAATTTCTTCTGAATAGGTGCTATTCATAGGCATTAGCCCTAAAACTTGCAGCTGTCATTTTGTAGTAAAAGTTTCTCTAAAAGTAAACATGAATGCACCTAAAAGAGAGTGGACTTTGTACTGTGTTGTAATGGTAAAAGCTGTCTGTTACTCTTGAATGAAAATTAAATTTCAGACTCCAAGGCTGCTCTCTTTTTGAATACACATGATCCCTTATCTAGGAACTCCTCTGTCCCAAATGTTGCTGCTAACCTTAGCAGTTCTGCAAATACATCTGTGGAGGAAGAGAGAATCTCTCTAAGCTTAGAATCAACCTAAGAACAGTAAGGGATGACTCTTCTAGGTCAGACCAAAAATTTGGGTTGTACAGATGTGCTCTTAAACCCTCAGTGCTCCCTGGAACAGTGTAGATGCTCCCATCAGCACCCTCAAGCAGTGTCGTGCCATCCCGTGGCTTACCTTTGACTCTCCTGATGGTATCCCTCTCCCCCATGTGTTCTTTTCCACATACTAATTTGTCTTGCTGCTTCTTATAATTGAAATGAATACATTTCTATATGTGTCTGAATTCTATACAGTGTGTCCTCTTAAGTGATGAATAGAAAATGTTGAATTTTGTTCATGCTGAACTTTGAATCAGGACTTTTTTTTTTTCTTTTTAATGTAGAAAATAGGCATTTTCTTTGTAAAAAGTGTCTTTCAGAAAATAAATAGTTTTTGGTTTCTCGTATCAGCTGCTGAATTACCTGATCAGTTGTATTTGTGACCATTACTGTAGACTGACAAAGCAATTAACATAAATAAATTTATGTAATAAAAGTTGTTTATCCTTTTAGGTTTTAATTAACAATGGCTTTACTCCGGATAAAGAAGACTATGAGTTTTGTGCAAAAGTGGAAGATATGGTGTTGCCAACACAAGGATATTTTGGAATATCTGCAGCAACAGGGGGACTTGCAGGTAGCAAATGTTAAAAATTGTGACAAATGGTATGGGGACTTGCAGGGCTTGCAGGGGAGAGTTTGTTGTTTTGGTTTTGCTTTGTGTTTTTTTTTTTTTTGTTTGTTTGTTTGCTTGTTTGTTTGGGTTTTTTTACTGTTAGTATTGATCCATTGTGCCAATTTTTGACCATGATGATCTGTAATTAATCGTCTCCCAAATTACTACTATGCTTAGGCCTTTTCCTGGATAGAGCAGGACTTTCAGTTTGTCCCAACAAAGACGTTGCTCAGTCTCATTCCCCACTGCATAAACTCTTGGGAGGACTTTAGGAGGGTGCTGTTGCCTGAATATCCTTTGCAAGTGCAAAATTGACTTGGGAAGTACCAGGATTTGTAATGTCTCGCTGTAGCCATCAACAGGTTTTTTTATTTTGTCTGTTGAATACAGATGATCATGATGTCCTGTCTTTTCTGACCTTCCAGTTGACTGAGCCTGGGAAGGAAGCAGTAAGCATCTTTATGCATAATTAGTAAAATATGTTACTGTTTATATTTTATATGTAGCACCAGATGATGGCATTTCCTCTGAAGTCATACTTGACATCCCTGTTTCAAGATTTTGGCATGTAGCTGTGCTGTCACTTGTTTCAGAAAAACTAGACTAATGCTGTAATGTTTCAGTAATATTTTATTAATGTTTTCAAGACCAGAATTCTTGAAGCAATGTTGAATCAACAAAAATCCTCATTTTAAATCACAGCATGAAGAGAAAGCAAACTAAAAAGTACAGTTTGTTTGGAAAGTGGACCAATAATCTGTTCTGGCTTTCAGCTTCACATACCTCTAGAACAGTTCTGTACTGCTAAACAGCATCTGTCCTTGTAAAACTTAATTTATTTTTAATCACAGAAAGTATACATGTATTTGGAAAAAACTGTGGGTCTCCATAGAAGTGTCTGGTTTCTCATTCCAACTTCATATATTAATGTGCTCCACTAATTGTTATGTCTTCAAATGTGAAATCTGGACAGCCTTGCTGATGAATAAGTTATATAGGAGTGGTGAAGGACATGAAAAAGATCTCTCCCCCCCACCCCTTTGATAATGTTTTAAAGCCAACACCAGATGCAGAAATTCCTCAAAAAGATAAAGAGAAGTATCAAGAAGAGTTTGAACACTTTCAACAAGAGTTGGATAAAAAGAAGGAAGAATTTCAAAAGGAGCATCCTGATGTGCAGGGACAGCCAGGCAAGTTATTTGAGCGATTTTTTTTCAGTTGTCAAGGAAAAATTTTGCTTTCTGGGACATTCAGAACAAGGGCCTGATACTCTGATCTTAGTAACATCAGTAGGAGCTTAGTTACTTTATTTAAGAATCTTTGGTCTTTTGTTTGTAAAGTATTTTCTGAAATAAAAAGTCTCTTTTGTCATGCCTGGATGGAGAACAAAATTAACTAATGGAAATAGGATGGTAACCATGAGAATCTGTATTGAACGGTAGCAGGGAGAGGTGGTCATGCATCCCCCTGTAAAGTGATGATTAAGGAAGCCTGGCCTTTTTGGTTATTTGAAAATGTATATGAAAATGTACATGCTTTTTGGTCTCTTTCTGCACATTCATAACAAACCTTTGCTTTCCATCTTGTTTTATGGATGGTTAGGAAAGATGGGCTAATGGATGTGCTGGAACATGTGCTTACTAGGAAAAACTTTAATGCTTGCCTAATATTGGATGTGTATTGAGTTCTGTCAATATCAGCACCAGAGCATTAGCTGGCATTCAGTAGTGGTATTTGGGCTGGCTAATAGCTAAAGTTCCAGCTTGATGTCCTTAAAAACTGTGGCCTTTAATTTTACATTTTAAGCTATTGATAAGAAATTTCAGTTTGGCTGGGTAAGGTAGAATTGCCCTTTCCACTACTGGTACCATGCATCTGCAGCTCTCAGCAAGTATTGGTTTAAAGATATTTCAGACAGAACAGCATTTTTTCCACTGTTTTCAAATTATATTTAATTTAGGAAGATTGTAATAATGACTCTTGCCCACTTTTTTGAGTGCTTAGCCATAGTGCTTTGACTTTGATTGTTCTGTTGTGGAACATGGTGGGGGTTTTGTTTGTTTGCGTGGACTGGGTTGTGGCATTTTTTCTTTGGTGGTTGTTTGGTTTTTTTTTTTTTTTTTAGAGCTGGACAAAAAAGAATCTGCTTATTTGAATATATAATGGAAGCCAGTCTGTTTCTTAGTTTTGTGGATTGAATTAGCTGTATTTGAACACACACATAACAGGAATGCACTTTGAGCATCTAGACCTGAAATTTCAGGTTGTAATTTTTTTTGCACAGTGTTAAGTTATGACTGTTCTGAAGGTCCTACACCATTTTATCTTCATCTGTGTCTTTGAAATATTGTCCAGACTTCCATTGGTAAGAAATAATAATCTTTTTGCCACAGTCGTTTGCACTTTCTTCTTTCTGATGTTGAAGCTGCAGAGGAACTCACTCAAAATGTGCAGTCACTTCTGTTTCAAGCTACTTTTTAAAGCTTACCTGTTCTAAAAAGTGGCTGTTACTTAATACATGCAAACCTCTTCTGATGGATAGTTGGTAACACAGTGCTAGCCGATGCAAAAGAAGCTGCCTCCTAATAATACTAGCACCCTGTTCCCATTTTATGTTGCATATTACCCAGGTATTTAAATAGGAACTCTAAGATGAAGTGAATGTGAATGTGGCTGAATGCGCGGTTATCTCTGTTCAATTGATCGGATCCTATTTGGGTATCCTTTGCTATGGCAACGGTGATAACTAAACACCAAATATGTCACATTATGGGAAAAAAGTATCCATGTGGAAATTTTAGGGGTGCAGGAAAAATTATACAATGCAGCTTATGAGGAATGCATATATGTAAGAACTACCTGTGCTTTTTCCCTTGTCAGCGGATGATCTTTTTGAAACTGTAAGTGATCGTGAACTAAGGCAAATCTTTGAGGGGCAGAATCGAATTCATCTTGAAATCAAACAGCTTAATAGGCAATTGGACATGATTCTGGATGAGCAAAGGAGATACGTCTCTGCAGTGACAGATGAGATTGCTAAAAGAGGAGCTGGTTTTCCAGGTCAGCAAGGGCAGGTAAATAAAAAACCCACCACCATGGTTGATAACTCAGCCTCATTTCAGCAGCATGATTGATTTGCTTTTTCTAAGACATGTTGATCTTTTCCTCTCCCTTCCCACCACCCCCTGACAGGTTTCCCAGCAAGAGATTGAGACAGTTGTGAAAACTCAAGAAGAGGTCATTAGACAAGTAAATGAAATAAGGTAAATACTTTCTAAGTATTAAGGCTGTGGTTTGATTTTTATATTATTTTCCACCTTTTAAATACTATTTATCACTTCAGTAGGAGAATACTGGCAAACCGGAAATTTCTCTGTGCCAGTTCCTTAGCGATGACTCTTTGCAGACATTTAATTTCTATAATAACATAAGTTCACGTCCCTAGGGTGGCTAAGCCCCCTAATTTGCCTCTTTTTTTATCATGAGATTCCACTTCAACAGGTAAGTCCAGTCCCTCTAAAAACAATGAATTTCTGCTAATGTGATAACCTGCTACCTCATGGAAATTTGTTGCTCTAATTTTGGAGTATTGATAACAACATGAGCATAACTGCCTTCAATTTATAGCTACTGAGCCCCCCCCCCCCCCCCCCCCCAAAAAAGGTGTATTGGAGTGTCTTGTCGATATACTCAGTCTACTACTGATATAATGATTACATGTGTTATGAATAAAATATATAGTATTAGAGTATTAGATATATTTGAGGGTTTGTTTAGCGTAAACAATCTGTAAAGACATGTAAGTAATTCTGAGAAGTAGTTGTGCACAAATGAAAATGTCTGTGCATGTAATAAGAGATGTTGAGATGTATTGCTTATTCGCTTAGTCTTCTAATTAAGTTTACTTCTTTCTTCAATATAGACATATTTTGTCTTTGGGTTTTTTCCTTAGTTTTGCTAAGACTGCTTAAATCTCATGTATCGATTATTGCTACATAGTGGTCTGCTACTGTTACTGATTGAGGGGGCGGGGGGGGGGGGGGGGGGGGCGGGTGGCGGGAAGAAAAACCCAATTCCTTTAGTTGTGGGTTTTTTCCTGTATAGTTCACGGGCAGCTCTTGTGATTTATCTAAGTAGGTCAGTTTTTTGTGGAATGAAGATTAGAGTGCTTCCATCTTTGCACTTGTTCTTCCACAAAAGCTTTCATGTTAATATTCTTGACAAATCTTTATACCTTGCAAGCAAATTAAATTTTCTTATTACCATTGGCAGTCTGCCCTTTTAGTGACTACTTACTAGGCATGAGTTTGTGTAACATCATCTTAATATTTTTCTTAGATTAAAGAAACCTTTTATTTATAGATAAAAATGAACAGCCCGCTGTTGCATTGCTGGTCATCCTAGATGAAAAGGTCTTACTATCTAAGTAATTTTCTTGTCAAGATGTGTAGATTTCTTAATCATCTGATTACAGAAGAATCTTGCATGTTCATACAGTAGAAACTATCAGCATGGTATTGTTTATGCAAAAGTAAATGTAAATTAAATTTGATGCAGACCATGTCTATTCAGGGAAGTTATTTTGCATTTAAGAAACAGTGGATCAGTCTGGAGGGAAGGTGTGTGTGCAGATTTCTGCTAATTACATAGGGATGGTGGTATTAGGAGGGAGAGGAACAAAATGAGTGTCACACTTGTGTTCTAGCGCTGAAAATAGTGGGGCAAGATAAACAATGTGATGGATGTGGATAGATAAAATTACTCTCAGCATTTGTTACGCAGTGGTCATGGTGGTGGCGGCAAGGGTATGCATGGGTTAATAAGAAAAACATCTTCCAGTGAAAAACTTACTTTCAAAATAGGTTATTCTAACTCTAATTCAAAGTAGAGCTAAATATTAATCAATTTCCTATAAATAATCTATACAATGACAATACAAAAATATAATTTATGGATAACGTATATGCTAACTTAAGTTAGGACAGATGAGGGGGTTTTGCATTCCTTTTGTGTGCATAAGTTCCAAACCAGAAATGTAGAATGAGAGAAGTGAAAGCTGCTTTGATTAGTTTGGTTTGCAGTGGCTTACAGAAGCAAACAGCTGGGGTTTTTTTGTTAACTCCTTTTGATAACTTTGCAATATTAAAAATTATTTTATTGAGGTAAGTGTTGAGATTTTTGCAGAAATCCATGGCTAACTCTGCCTGGCCTAGAGTGCAGTACATTATCTGGAATAACTGGAAATGTAACTGTGAAAAGTGATTGATCTTCTAACTTGAAGTGGGATTGAGTTTTTACAACGATGATGTGAAAGGGCGAATTCTTGGATTTTTTTGTTACTGAAAGGGAGAGGAACTTTTTTTTGGTTGTGTGGGAAGTATGCAGAATACTGGTAGACTAGTATGTTAAATTGATTTGTGTGTCGAAGTGGTAATTTTAAGAAAAACTGGTAGTCTTCAGTTTGAAGAAGATTATATATGCCTCTGTTAAAGTGGTGTATCTGCAACTTGATATTATTGTGTAGGTTAATTTAGTGTGTGGCTTTGACTTAGCTATTTCGAGTAGTTTAAACATGCTGTGTGGTTCTTACAATGGAGCGAAAGCTGGTGTAACACTAATATAGCATATCTATGCTTGCAATTTTTACTTCTGGAGAGTTGTCAAGGAGCCTTTGAATAGATATGTACATTATCAGTTTTCTCTCTTCTGTTATTTTAATTTTATTTTTAGCTCAGTTTTCTGAATTTTAATGGCATGAAGGGCTATTGATGCAAAGCTAAAAGATGAGCAACATCTTTTCCAAGATTTGTAAACATTTAAGTTTCAATGCTTAACTTGCCATTTTCACAATTAATATGAGCCATTTAAAAATCAGTAATATAATAATATGACTATATGTTGTTGTTGCCAGTTTACTCGATGAATAGTATTCAAGCCAGGTTTTTGAGTGTGGGTTTTGTTTTTTGTTGTGTGGGGTTTTTTTTGTTTTGTTTTTTCCTTATGTGAAAGTTTAAAATTTAAAGTGTTCAAGGCCAGGCTGGATGGAGCTTTGGGCAATCTGATCTAGTGAAAGATATCCCTACCCACAGCAGGGAGGTTGAACCAGATGGTCTTTAAAGGTCTTTTCCAACTGAAACCATTCTATGATCCTATGATAAATTGCTGACCACTGTACAGAGAGTTAGGATTGCACCGTGAAGGCATCGAAGTAAGCTCTCATCTGAACAAAATGTAAAGTTTTAAGTAAATTAGAAAGAAATCCAAATATATACAGTTTGATTGTTTATTCTGTTAATAATGAAGAGATTAACATTCACATGATAAATATTTTAGCTGTAGAATAATCCTCTTTGCAACTGAAAAGAGACATCACAGTAGGGGAATATTATATAAACATATTGATTAGAGATTAAGTATTTTTCTCTCATCGACTGGTTTACCTCAATCAAAATTATTTATGGAACCTCAACTTTTTACAGATTGAATCTGATTTGTTACAGAAGCAAAATGAATTCACATGAAGACAGTATTAAGTATTATGACAATGCATATGGGAAATGAGTTTCTCATATAAATGGTAATCATGAAACAAGGATGTTTCTAAATCTTTCCTTATCCCTAAAGCCTCTTCTTTATTTTTATTTCTTGCATGATGACTTTTATTTATTTTTCAAACATCTTTTGGGTTTCTTTAATGCAGTCTTTGAACTCTGCTTATCCTAAAGCCTTGGCAAAAGCCTCAGATTTAAAACACTTGTTTTAAACTTCATCAGTCAGGCAAAGCAGATGTCTCACAATAGAATATTTACCAGATCTTGTTTTCAGTGTGACTTTGGGAGATGGTGCACTGTACAAATTGAAATTGTCTGTGTTTAAAATATTGTGAAAATAGTGAAACTGTCTAAATATTAAAAAAAAAAAAAAATCCTATTTCGATGAAGGAATTATTTCTTGATAGGTATTCTTGGAAGCTAGAAAAAATGTTTTCTGCCTTTTGGGGTAACTGTGTATTTCAAACTAATTATAATGGACTAAAAGGTGTCCAGAATAACTACTTTTTTGTAGAAAAGCCATTCTGTGCTGAAAGATGTTTTATTCTTTGTCTTATTTCAGAAATTCGGTGGCTGACACTCTGAGGTTGATCAGTGGAGCTCAACATCCTGGATCTGCTGCAGGAGTCTATGAAACAACTCAGCACTTCAATGACATCAAAGAACACCTTCATATAGTAAAGAGGGACATTGAGCATTTAGTACAACAAAATATGGTAATTTATGTCCTTGTAGTGTAAAGCATGACTGTAATACTTCTTTATTTGTCTGTTAGTGAAAAGCTAGGATGAGCCAGCATGCAATTTACAGAGCAACTAATCCTTCATTAAGCTGCTTCGCTAAAACTGCACTGCCTTGACCTAACTGCATGATCTGTGTCTTGGTGAGAAGTTTTGCACAAAGATCATGATTTTTATTTCCTGTGCAAACAAGGTCAAGCAATTAGGTTTTCTGGGTGCTTTTTTTTGTGTTTGTCCCTCTACTTAACAGCTCTATACAGAGGAAATTCTCTACTGCTTTTGCACAGAAGGGAGAGCTTTAATTGGAGGAAACTTGGACAGGCTCCACTTAAGGTCTCTAAGTGTCAAAGATAACTGTTCATATTCAGGAGCACCTTAGTCTAGTCTAGGTAGTAGTTATGCTGAATTAGTTTATAATCCCATAGAAGGCTCTTGATTTCTGGGTTAACTTACCAAAGAATTATTCTTTCCCCTATAACTCTCAAATTAACATCAGTCAATTTATCTAAGAAATGTAAAAGCGAAAGAGGAAAGTGAGACATGGAGCAAGATCGTGATTTTTCATAGTAGTGTCATTTCTATCTATGTTTTCTGCTTGTGTTCTGATTTTTAGATCATGTTGCAAAGACCTTGTTTTGTTTCTTACATATAATAGTCTTTTGATGTCATGCCTTGTTTGCGCTTTTCTCAAATATTGTTTTTCTTGGTTTTTAGCCATCTAGTGAGAAATCTAAGTGCCCAGACTTGCCACCGTTTCCATCGTGCTTATCTACAATGCACTTCTTTATATTTGTAGCGGTGCAAACAGTGTTATTCATTGGTTATATCATGTATAGGTAAGTATGTTTTTGTTTCAAGACAACAGGGCAAACAGCTTTAGAACGTCTGATGGAAAATGCAATTGCAGTGGTATGATTGTGTTAATCTTCTTTAAAACAAGCAGTCATTCAGATTGGACAAGACCTTGGGAGGTCAGGTCTCTAGTTCAAACTTGTGTTCAAAACAGTGTCAACACTGAATTCAGACCCCATTGCTTAGTGTTTAGACTGATCAGGTCTTGAAATCCTCTAAGAATGGAAAATTTACCACTGTTAGCGACCCCATTAGAAATGTTTAATGATCATAATGAAGTTTGGTTTATTCTCCTCCCACCCCCACGGTATATCTGATGGGAACCTGCCCTGTTTCAGTTGACTGTTGTGTCTGCTGCTTATAATGTGCATCTCTCTAAAGAAACTGTCTCTATCTCCTCAATAACATCTTTTGGGTATTAGAAAGCTGCTGTTAGGCCCCTTGAAGCCTTCTTTTGTCTGCGATGGACAAGCCCAGTTCTCTTCCTCTCTTCTCTTGAGGCATGTGCTTCAGCTCTTGACCACCATTTTTGTGGTACTCTGCTGGACTTACTGAGTTTTATTAATAAATCTTAACAAAATCCAATGTGACTTTTTTTTTTCCACTATGAGTACTTACAGACTGCTTATCCCATCTTTTTTTAGAATACATATTGCTCTCCTACATATGATATTAATAGTGTGTGGACTTCCTGCTCCTTCCACCACCACCACCCCCCCAGCTAATTCTCTTCATCCTCCTTGTAATGTCATAACATTCAAATGAAGTTTGCATTGGTGGAAAGGAAAACGTACTGAGAGTAAGGACTTACTTGCTTGGTAGTCTTCCCTCCTTCTCATACACACTAATCAGGATAAGGAGTAGGGACCAAAATAGCTGTGTTGCCCTTCAAAGAGAAAATGGCTACCTCTATGGAAGGATAGCTAGTATTAATATAAGACCAATGCTGCTGATAGCATTAACTTTTACTGTGTGTCTGCTTCTCTACAAAGTGGAGAGAGTGTATTTCTTATGTATGTCATGTTATGCCATTACCTGGAAAGATGGCTTCCAAGACAAAGGAGGAGCTGGTTCCTTCTAGTTCTTTTTGATGCCTTTGTAATTCTAGCATCTGTGTGTGGTTGATCCACGGTATCTATATCCACTAAGAAAATAAATATGTTCTGCGCCAGAGGGAAAAGAAATCCCTCTTCAAGTAAATTACTTGAAAATCCCATTTCAAGTAAATTATTTCACTGTTTAGTAGCATGTGTTTCCTTTTCTGTGATGATCTTTAGGCCAATCAGGTACAGAGAAGCTTTAGAAAATTTTAGCTGAAGTAATTTAAAAATCTGTTTACGTGTTTCTTCACAATTTCCAGCTTCTGTCCAGAAGGTTTTATTTCCTTTTGTGTCTGATGCAAAATTGGAACTGCACTGATGCTACCAATGTCTCTGAATAGAAAAAATTATATCCTATTTTTGTGATATGACTTATTTGATTTTCCTAGGTCTCTGTTGACAAGGAGTGGAATCTTTTAATCCCCAAATAAATGAAATACTTACTTAAACCAGTAAGATAGTTTTATAGTATAAGTACTTATTGAATTCTCTTCTGCTTTTTCTTTCAGGAGTCAACAGGAAGCAGCAGCCAAAAAGTTCTTTTGATGACCTGTTCCTTTTGTGTGTACATAACAGCAGTATGTATACACAGAAAATGATACACTTCTGTAAATGAGGGAAACTTTAGTGTTTGATATACTTCAATATTGTAAATTATTGAATTTTGTTAAACAAAATGAGTTCTCATTTAAACTGTCAATGCTAAGGTTAAAAACAGTCTGGGGAGCAGTGGAGCAAATGCTAGACGGGGTCCGCAGTCTTCCCCTGTCTAGGTCTGTGTTTTCAGCTTTCTCGTAAATACTGGAAAGCAGATACTGTATTCCTCCTCTTTTCTCAAGATTCCAGAGAAGGGAATTGAAACACCCAGGTTTGATGGTTGTTCATAATGAGAATTGCAGATGGCAAAAAGAAAGCTTGCCACCAAGTATCCTGACGTAGCAGTTAAAAAAAAAAAAAACAAAAACAAGCAAGCAAGCAAACAAAATCATACAAAATAAATTTAAAAAAACAAACAAACAAAACCCAACAAACAAAAAAAGCCCAACAACAAATCCTGAACAGCTGCTCCCCTCCATTTTTTGGAGGGGGTTGGTGTGGAGGGATGTAGAAAGTTGTTACAAACATTTAATTCCTTTACCACTTGGATTTAACGGTTTAATAATCATTTGGTTAATTCTAACTTTTCATGAAATATAAACGCTTTTTAATATGTGGACACGGAGACAGGCCTTTAGCAGTCTGACTGTTGATAGCTGTTATAGAAAACAAACTATACAGAACAAGCAAATAAAAGCTTATCTCCTTATTTTGGGGTTTGGTTTTAGGCAGTGAGAGAAGAAATGATAAAGTAGTTTATTCAAGTATATTGTGGGACTGACTTTTTTTTTTTTTGTAGTTTCAAGTCTATGTGTAATTCTGTTTGGAGATTTGTGAATCTTTTTCAGCAAAGATATCATTGCTTTATACCTCTTCACATCTGATTTATTAAGGTTACGTTTAGTGTATGAATATGTCTTTACTTTTATAAAACTGTCTTGTGTCTTTCATGTATCAGATACAGATGTTTTGATTTAAATCTTGATATGGCAGGTATTCTAAACTACAGGTGTATTGAGTGTTAACATGTTTCTCACAAGCTGTTGCTTCAGTCTTGTTTGTTAATCCAGCAGCTATTGTAGAACCAGTGTGTCAATTCCTGCTTTAATATCAAAAGGATAAGATGGAACATGTGGTTTTGATACTGCTTATCAGGTGAACATTTGCTTCAGAAAAGAGACAAAGCAGATAGCCCAAATTACGAATGTGAAATGAATTCATTTTGTCTTGTTTACATATCTGTGGTAACTTTGTCCTTGAGTTGTTTGTGTATAGAGTTAGAATAGGGGTTTTTGGTTTGGTTGCTTTTTTTTTTTTTTTTTTTTTTCAATGCTTTCAAATACACAAACGCACCAGGATGTTTCACTTTTAATTATTAATCTGTTTGTCTGAATCTTCAAAAATTATCTGGAATCTAGCATACTACTACTGCATTTCTACAATCTACTCCCTTGGAGTGCAACACATGCTGCCAAATTCGCTGTAATCAACACTTCAGTATTGTGCCTGTCGGTTTGAAGAAATGATAAATCTATGCAATATATTTTGTTACTTAAAATGTTCAAAAAGTGGATGTCTGTGCTATACCAATAAAATGATACTACCGACACACCTATTTACATAGCTACAGTATGTAGTATACTGCAAGTGGTATAGCTTTGTAGATTCATTTCTAAATTTGAGAAGATTTTGCTGTACTAATTGGAGAAAATACTGCCTCAAAACTAATCTCGCTGGATAGAGTAAATCAATGAAAAAAAACTTTTCAGATAAGCCACAGGAATTTATCCATTCAGTTCTTTCAACACCAGCAAATATTTACAGGTGCCTTGAGTCTAAGCTATTACAACCCTGACTCTTCAAACTAAACTTAATGTATTTTCTTAAATTGTTCTGAAAATGTACAGTGGTGTTCCTTTCAGTTGCAAGCCTTCTTGCATCAGTGCAACACCTAAACAGAACTCTCTCGCAGCAGGCTTTGCAAGACCCTTTATACAGAAGGACTAGCAACTGTATTTTAATAAGTAGGTGCATATATCTGGCATGATGAGGAGCAGCTCTAATGTATTAATTGGAGGAAGCCTGTATCTTTTGTTACTGTGAATTTATCCAACCCTAACTTTGTTTTAAAGCTGGAGCAGACCACACTTTTATGTCTTTTGTTGGAGAGATGCTGGGGATGGTGTCTAGGGGAAGACTGAACCTACAGTTGTATCTTCAGTATGAGGCTCAGTTTGTGTGTTTATGCTGCTAATAGATCTGACATATTCCTTGTGCAACTAGGAAGCTTTTGTATTAGGGAGCAGAAGGTCTAAAGCATAACATCCAAACAGCGGTAACTTTAGTTGATGCTTCATTTCACAGTCCTCTCTCCTTGGAACTTCTGTAATTGCCACATCACTCACTGGATCAAGGGAGAGCTCCCACTTGCCCAGCTCAGATTTTGTCCTGTCTGTTCTTGAGGTGATAGCAACAAATTCGGACTTTAAGAATATTTGTCACTCAATTTAGTCTTCTGTTACAGTTGGCTACTAGAAGTTTCTTACAACACTGATAGTGTATTTGATTCTTACCAAGTAAGATTTCAGGACTAGGAGAACACACCTTGGAATCCAGTTTGACAATATGGGGAGAGCAAGTCTAATAGTTGTATTTGAAGCGTGGATGATAAGTAGCAAATATTTGGCAGTGACAAGAGAATCTCATTGTGCTGGTCAGAGTATATTAAATACAAGGTCACATCTGAATCCTTCAAAAGTAAAATTCACAGTATGGTTTGTATATTACCTAACTTCCTGTTTGAAGAAAATTTGACATTTATCAGTGCATCAGTTCCTGTAACACCGAAGACTGTCTACTTTTTTTTTTTTTTTTTTAATTCAAACAGCTGACACTTTCATGTTTGTTTCTGACTAATGTAAATTGACACTCGGAGTGCAGAGATAACCTTGTTTCAATAAAGATGCATATTTTTAGTAAGCTTTTTTCTTTTAATTTGGCACATGTGCATGAAATCCAAGCAGGTGTGTTGGAAGCATTCTTTACCCTCCGTTGTTCAGAGAGTTTGAACGCTCTGAGATTTGTGTTCAGTTCTGCCTGATACTGGAGAGTTAATGGCATGCAGAAGCTGAGGGTCTGCCTGTATTGGAGACAGATGACTGCTGTTGGTTAGCAGGAGATGCTGAATCCAGCCTCAGTTCGTTCTGGAGGAAGGGATTATATCCTCTGTACTGTAGTCTGATGCAAGTGTGACTCTAACCTAAAAGTAAGAGATCCACTCAAAAGCTTGTGTTAAGAGTATCAGGCTTGCCTTGAGTATCAGACACTTGGGGTCAAATGTAAAGTAGTATGTCAACTTCTAAGTCTCTTAAGAGTAAATTAAGTTGCTTGTTGGCTGCTTTGAGTATATAAATACCTCATTTTTCTGAAGATTGCGTACGTTCTGAAGTTCTTTCTTCAGTCTCCAAACTGCTGTCGCCTGAGTGCTCGGCTCCTGTTTGTTGGAAAACAACATGCCTACCCAAAACAAGTCAGTGTCTGCTTGGTTTTCTGTTTTTGTTTGGTTTGGGTTTTTGGGGGGTTACTTTGGTTTGGGGTTTTGGTTGTTTTTTTTTGTTTGTTTGTTTGGTTGGTTTTTTACTGTTTTAGCCAGTAAACTGTGGTAACCTCCCACAGGAAGAGTAAGAATTCCCCCATTGACCATCATTTTCCCCCATCCAGGAGCAATTTCTCTAATTGTAGAGGAAAGGAATCTTTAACTGAATCTATTCCAGCTAAGAAAACCATAAAATACTTACTTTTCTCATTCTCTGCAAGTGATCTAATGTTCTGACTTGTATAAAAGGCGACATCCTCTTTTTAGAGGGATGAAGTGGCAGAGAGAGTCTTGGTTCTCTCAAGGAACACTTCGATAGTACTGAATTGTGTGGTTGGAGTTGTCTGCTGTCACTGTTTTGGGAACATAGTCTCTAGAAAAGTCTGGGACTTTGGATGCTTGCCTGCCTCAGCATTTTTGTGCTGGCCTCCCTGTGAGGCTTTTAGATTTTCCTTTGTGATTTGCCTGTTTCGCGACTGAATTCTGTTCTGGGGTTGGAGGTTCCTGCGTTCTTTGTCTATGTAACACAGGCTTATTTCATATCGCCCCGTTCCATCAGATAAAATCGGAACCGAGCCTTTAATTTTTATTTCGCTTAAGCTAGGGGGAGAGGACTTGATTTATAGCAAAGCAAGTGGCAACATGAGTACTTAATTAGCAGCTGTCTGTATGTTTTCATTAAGCCTGTGGTCCCCATAATCAACAAAAAGCAGTAAGTGGTTTGTAACTTCAATATAGGCAGTAGCTAAAACACTCGCCAGGAACAGGGGTTATTCTGGAGGCACTGGTCCTTGTTGACAGCCAAGGTAGGTGCTTAAAACTTGATACTTTAGGTACTCTGTAAGCAACTGATTCCTTACCAGTGTGACTATTCATTCATTATTTCTATACACAGATTTGTGATGATTTCTAAACCTACAATGAAGTGAGCAATTCACTAGCTAGTTATGTAGTGTCTTCCAAAGCATCTTCACTAATCTCTTGTGTTTCTCAGCAGTTTCTAGTGCCAATAGTGCCAATATCTTTTAAAGCCCTTATTGTTGTCTTCAATTTTGAATCTAATCTTGGAAAGCCTTTTGCTGTTAGGAAGGTTCACGAGACCTCTCTCAAAACGTGGGGGGTAAGATCTCTCAGGTTCTCAGGAATCCCTTCCCAGGCCAGTTTTCAGCTTTCTTGCCTTCTCAGTCAATTCTGTGAAAGCATCTCTTTTAGGCAGAAGGTGGTATTAGCAGCATTTCTATAGGGACTAAAGTCTACAGCTATGACTTACTACCAAAGTTAGGGAAGCTTCTCTTCAGTAAAGACCGATAGCGCAAAATTTAACAGATACACCTCCCATACACTTACAGAAGACTATGAGACCTAACACTGGAAAAATCCACACTGCATGTTGTATTTGCAAAGTGCACAGTACAGACACACTGGTGCTCCCTGTTCCAGTTAGGAGAAATCTAAAAGATGGGCCAACCAGTGCAAGTGGACTCGAGGCGTCTGGCACTAAGTAGTGATGTTGTGGGACAGCATTCTAACATTGAATCAAATAGCTGTCAAAGCACAGAAAAATAATGCTAACAATCAAAAGTTTATATGATCTTAAACTCCTCTTGTAGCATACTTTTCTGTGATGCCTACTGTGCTGTTACTGAACTCGTGTTTTAGGATCAGCACATAAACAGGACCAATATATTACTTTAACCTGTTCAATAGTTTTTGCAAGCTGCTGAAAACCTATCGCATCTATATCTGATTGATGCAGTATTTCTTGGCCTCTTTTGTGGCGCATACTTGTGTAAAATACAGCTCGGCTGTGGGGCTGAAGCATATTGAGAAGATCTTCCAGTTTCTGATGTTAGCTTTCTGTTGTAAGCAGTGGATGCAAAGGTCAGCAAGACCAAAACTTTCATCCAGAGTTTTGATGCCCTCTATCTCTAGCCACCATCTATTTCTAGAGATGCCTGAAATGGCAAAGCACCTTCTCCCCTCCCTTAGGATTTTCTGGCTCCTGCTCCTGAGATCCACCATGTTCTGAGCAGTGGTGGGCAAGTCACTTATGTCAGTCAGGCTGTAGTTTAGGAGCCAGGGATTTTCTTTCAGGGACTTGCTCTTGGAGCAGTATTTACCTCAGTTTTCTAGAAATAACACTGTATTTTAATTTCTTCCTTTTAAAATTGGCTGCAAAACAGTGAGGGCTCTTGTGGTCTTGTTCTGGGTCATGGGGTTGCCACTACCGCTCAGCAGTCAGTGTGCTCATCCAAAGACTTCTCTCCTTCTAAAAAAGAAGCTAGATTAGGCCTGTTGGCAGGACTTTTCAAATACCAACAAAGTGAGCAGGTACTTGGTTTTACAGAAGGCCAGCCAAAGGTTGCAGGTTAGAACCATCCCTGCTTGCCCATGTTGTCTCCAGGATGGGAAAATGGTGTAAAAGTACCATTGAGCAGAGTGGGACAGCACTTGTGGGATGATACAATTGCACGATGAGGTGGTAGTGGCGTAGGTCATGCTTCATTCTGGTGGAACTAGCCTGCCTGCGCAGCTACGGCTGACCTGCAGTGAGCCCACAGCACCAGCTAGTTGTCAACTCTTTTGCACAAACACAGCTTTTTCTAAAAAGCAGAAGGATGGGGAATAGGGGATGCTGTCAGCTGTTCTACCCTTTGAATGCCTCAGAGGCAGCAAACTGAACCAGGGAAGTCCTTGAGCGTAACGAAGTCAGACTGACCTTGCCAGGCCCATTTTGAAGTAAGGCTCTGAGGTAGGAGCAGTGATACATTATGCATAACTTAATGCTGGATTTTTAGTTTTTAAATTTTGCCAGATATCAAGTTTTATTTAATTTTATGCATTCAGCTTCAGAATAATGCATGCTCAAATTTAGCATTCTCTGCTTAAATTGGGATTACCTATCCGATGTCTATGATCTCAGTTCTGTTAGCCATTTGGGCAAGTACAATACAGTTTTTCAAATCAAGGTCAGAGTTGGTCAGATGTAAAAAGTTGATTCTTCCCAGAAATTCTTGCAACTTTTGCATAGTTCTGAAAGTGCCCAGTGACTATAAAAATAAATTTTAATTTAAGAAAAATGGTTTCTATGTATTTGTAGTATATCAGAGTGGTTTTGTTGTCATTTGGAATTCATGCTTCTGAGTGATACTCCATTTCAAAAAGAAATTTAAAGTTTCTTCTTTAATCACTAATAATCCAGGATTACAGAATGTCCTTTTTTTTTTTTATGATAACAGCTCTGCTTTAATTAGAAAGGCTCAGATACAGATTAAGGCATTAGGTAAAATAGAATCCTCCCTTCTCTCAGTGAAATTATGAGACTGCTGGGAGAACCATTTAGATAATCAAAAATACAGAATCTTTCATTAAGGCATGTGCAGTCAGTCATAATAAGATAAATGCTCAAAACCCAAAATCATGAACTTTTAAGACCTAGCAAATTATTTCCCCAAATAGTCTATGATCTGGGTAGCAGATCCTGCAAATCTTCACCTGAGTAAACCTAGTGAGGCTAAAGATGTGAATAAAAGTTTGAAAGATGAGGACCCGCACAAGCAATTCACAAACAAAAGATATTGAGGCTGTATTGTAGCATACAGAATCAGTCAGATTCATTTCTCCTTTGTTGACAGTTAAGATTAAAACCACTACGTATTCAATGCAGCACCAGTCAAAGCGGTGATCTAGATGGAGACAGCCTGGGGAAGAGCTGAAATAAACCCTTAGGAATGAAAAGTAGGAAGATGTGATTTGCTTTTTTTGTGATTACTTTCTTGAAAAAAAAGTAGTGATAGTCACAATGCCTCATTCATCTGTGAGGCAAACCAACCATATGAAAAGTGGATGGAGAGAAATCATTCAATGTACTTTCTGTTCAATGTGATAATGGACAACAAGGATGGGGGGGGCGGGGTTGCTTAATGAAGAATTCCAATTTTCAAATCTCATTTGATTGTGTAAATCCAAAAAGATTTTCTGCTTAGTAGCCCAAATTTTACAAATTTACTGTGGCCATCATTTAGTCAAGCAGGTTTTTCATTCAGGTCTGTTGTGTTCCAGGGCATGTTTTCATCTCTGTGAAAGTGGGTTTCAAGACTGAAGAAGTCAAAAAGCTATTGCACACTGTAATTGATTTGTGTGTGTGTACTATTAGCTTAAGGTATTAATACAAACAGTAGGTAGCTGCATCTGATGATTTTTTTTTTTTTGAGTAATCTGAACCATCTGCCTCTAGATATTAAGGAGTTCACTCTTTAATCCAGATTAAGGCTGACAAACTGGTTTTGGCATTCACGTTTCACTAGCACTGTGCCCTTGAAGAGCTGATGTGACTGTAGAAACTCTCTTGCTTACAACTGTTGGTTTTGAAAACATTTTTGGTTTGGTTTGGCTTTCTTGTAGTTGCTTGTTTATAGCTCTTTTTTTCTTGAGAAGATGGCTTTTCTAATGAAAAGTATGTTGAGCAACCAGGTAAAGAATCTGGGATTTGGAGGTGGAGGGGAAGAAAACAAAGAAGAAAACACTCCTTCTGATCCAGCAACAGCTGCAGGAATGACCAGAGAGGAGTATGAGGAATATCAAAAGCAAGTGGTTGAGGAGAAGTGAGTACCTGTTCCCTTATTACCAGTATGGTGCTGATTCTTGGTAACTTTGTGCAGATAAAAATTACCTAAGAAAAAGGCAAACATTCAGCTCTCTTCCCTTTTTTATAAAAGCAGACAACTCTTTGCTAAAGAGACTTTCAAAAAGAAAAGTTCACCAACTGGAAATGATAAAATATTATGTTCTACCTTCTTCCCCCCACCCCCCATCCTGCACCTCTCCTACACTTTCTTCATATCTTCACACCTTGATATGCTGGATTAATTCCTAGCTGATGTTATTTTATCTATCAAATTTTTCCATAGGTACAAAGCCGTTTGTATTGCAGGAGTTAGTTCTAAAATGTGTATGTTTTGTTGTTCTAGAACTCTCTGGGGAGTACCCTTTCAATGCATAATCTTTTCTTTGTCCACATTTGTTATGGCAGTCATGAAAAAGTAGTAAGTGCAGTGTTAAATCGGATGATATTTATCTGGAGAAAGATTTTAAGATGGTTATTTTTTGTAGTTGCATTTTCAGTTATTTTTTCTAAAATTACTAAATAAAGCAGAACTTCTTACCTGGCTAATTCTCAATTCTATTTTGTCTGTAATTATCTTTACCACTTGCTATGTTTAAATATCAAAACAGAAGTAAAATAAAGGACTTAACACGTAGGAGTTCAAATCATGCATAATTATAAGTAAAATGATTGACTTTTAAATCTCAAATGCATCTGTTCCTCTAATGGTCAATTACATAATGGTTGTGTAAATCCTTCACATAAGATGATTATAGGTGAAAGGTTAATGACTGTCGGAATTTGAGGTATCCAGGTCTGTATTTAGCAGCAGCCATTTGTATCGTAAAACCTCGAATAGGTATCATTTAGCTTGGAATAAAATATGGAATGTTCTGCTATGCATTTTGTCAAGGAATATTTAAAAAAGAACGAACCACCTCCTGGCTAGGGAGATGCTTTATTGACAGAAAGAAGCAAAATGGAATTCCTGAGATAGGAAAAATGCTTCAAAAAATAATTATTCGACACTTGAAAACATTGTAGAAATGTGTCCATTACATGCTGAACTGTGGTGAGGAATCGATGCAGGAGTACTTCTGAAAGTTTGGAACTATAACAGGGACATTTGAAGTACTTTCAAAGAGGAAAAAATAGCTCAGGACAGTGCACATTGGTGTGCTTATGTAAATGTGTGTCAGAAATCTTTATCACGGGCAAAGCGACTGTTTCAGGGCTCTCTGGATTTTACCTAGTTGTCAGCTGTACAAGAGTGGAGATCAGAGAAGTGCCTTGCTGGAGTCATACTCAGGCGGAGTTTGGCCTTTGCATTAACATCCTGACTTTGGGTTCTTAGATTTTGCCTCTTTTTTTTTTTTTTTTTTGGTGATTAGACACACAGAGATGCACAAATTGTGTAATATGCAGGAACAAACAGGTGGCTTGTGCTGGCATCTCCAGCACGGTCACATAGAATTTCCTTCCAGGATCAGAAGAGTTCAAGCAAGAGGGGTCCACCAGTTTGTGCTGTACGTAGCAGGCTCTTGACTGTCATGCAACTGCTCTTGCACCTATTTCCCACAAAGATTCCGGGGAATTAAACCCTCCAGAACAAAAAGGTGTAAGCTTAGGCCAGACACTAGGGCCCAGGCAATGCTGGGAGATTGGCTGAGTGAGTTTTTCTGGGTCTCCCCATCATGCCAGGACAACTGAAAAGCTCAAATCTACCTGAGCAGAAAATCTCCTCCTGCCCCTCAGCCTCACAGGACAGCTGAGGGGATGCGTATAGTAAAGCTGCACACGCTGCCCCATGGGAACATAGCCCAGCACCAGCTATGGTTGCTAACGGCTCCTCTGGAGGAGTGGCCACAGAAGAGGAAGGTGGAGAAAGAGAGGGAAAATTATGCCAGAACGGCTCAAAAAAATCTCTTTCCAATCTTCCCATCAATGACTGCAAGAAGTTTAAGGTGGCTTCCAGTTAATGTGAAACTTTTTAGAGAGAGAGAGAGAGAGAGAAACCAAAGAACTCATTTGTGGAAGCACAGGAAAAATAACATTTTATCTTGCAAGTAGCTTTTATATGACAAAATGCCTATACTGGAACAAAATCAACTTTGCCATAGAATTTCCATGACAATGCTTCTTGGAAAAAAAAACCTAAAATTAAAGGGGGAGAAGGGAAGGTGAACGTTGTCAAATGATACTAAAAATCTTTGAGGAGACACATTTTGCAGATAAATACATAAGTAATCTAACCAAAAATTGTGCTAAACAGTTCTTAAATCTAATGAAAGCGTTTTATAAAATCACAGATAAAAGAAGTACTTTTCCACACAGGGAAGCTGTAGATCGTTCTGAAACAATAAATGGATGCAGAAAAAACACAGGAAGATTCGTAGGTGACAGAGGCCATCCAGGGTTATTAGAGACAATGATGTAGAGCCAATTTCCAGCTCCAGTCCCCTGCACCAGTGATTTTTGGAAGCTGGTCAGTTTTGATACAGGATGCTTATCCTCCTTTTAAATTCTTTCCCTGTATCCACTGCTGTCTACTGTTGGAGATGGGACTCTAGGATAGGTAAACTTTTGGTTTGACCTAGAAAGACCATTCTGCCATTGTGTGTGTGTGGTGTTATACTATGAGAAAGACACGGCTGTAGCGCAGGAGCATTGGCAGGCAGCCGTGTCTCTCTAAGTGCCCCAGTGGAATAAGCAAGGAATAAGCCTAACTTTTCTGTTCTACTTATTGGAATTATTCATTGTTATAGTGAGCAATAACTCTTAGTACAGGTACAAACTTCAAACAAGTAGTATTGGCTTATCCTTCATTCTTCATGGGAACAGTTCTGAGAACAAGCGTGGGGTACAGGGCCCTTTAGCATCACTTTACTGATACCTCTCCTTTTGCAGACAAGTTATGTAACTTTGGGAATGTAACTTTTTGCAGCTGAGCAGTTGGCTCAGTGTAAAAGATCGTATTTCATTAGTGTCTTGAAGAAACACTTTTTCTGATTTCCAGGATGGAAAGAGATGCAGCATTTGCACATAAAAAAGCAGAGCGAGCCTGTCTGAGGGTTCATCTGAGAGAAAAGTACAGACTCCCTAAGGTAAGCCTGTGGTTCATGATCTCATCTAGTTCAGTGGCCAGTTTTAACACAGACTACCAATGCAGAGCTCTGAAAATGGCAAATTGCTTTCATTAGTGGGATACTCACTGCATCTCAGTACAGAAACGGAGGAGGCCAGAGCCGTGGTTTTCCCTAGTGACTGCTGCTTTTAGACCCCTTTTTCTCTGCTCAGTAGATGAATCTAACAGAATGATTCTTGAAATCCTGCTCTATACTGTCAGATCTGAAAAAGGCAACTAGGGGAGTTGAGAATCTGGTCTGATCGTGGCTCACAGTTAGTATACATTCTTAACTCAGCAACACACATCAGTTAAAAATATAGCAATAGGCAGATAGGTGAAGTCCCTCAAAACTCCTCTACGAGCTGTGCATTTGAGTTCTGCTAAACTTCTGAAGGTTCTTTTTCCAAGAAGTGCAAGCAAACTGTCCATTCTTTTTTCTTTAGTGCTCCTGATGCTGTTTGTCAAATATTCCCAGGAAAATGAAAATATAGACAACAGAAGCTTCAAGCAACAGAGAAATCTGGAGGTTTGTTAAAAGCAGACAGCTTCTGGATCATGACAGAAAGTGTAGTTAACATTCCAGTTGATAGTATTTTTCTGACATAAAAACACATGGATATGAACAAGAGTAGCTCTTTATGTATTTAAAGTGTTTTCCTGGTTTAGAGGGAAGACATACTCCTCTGTTTATTTTCTGATTGTCTTCCACATTTTCACGGATTTGGCTGCAGAACTCTCATTTATCAACGGCTTACCAGAGCACAGGCTTTAGCACTAAGCCTATACTAAACATCCACAGGTCTTACCTATTAAAAAAATAAGAAGTTTTGAAACCTGAATATTCTGGAGATGATTTCCTGTCACAAGACGGTGATGCTTCTATAATGAAGAAAGCTGCTATTTCTTCTAGGTCTGTGGACTGGAATTGAAGGGAGCTAACAGAGCAAGAGCCAGAGAAGGACTCTGCAAAAGAATCAGGGAAGATTAGCCCACAGCAGAAACATCAAGTGAATTCTTTGAATTCATTTGGACTGCAGGATCACTATGAAGGTCCCTAGACAGGTTTCCCTATAACAGTTTATTTTATGGGGGTGAATCAGGGGAATTTTCTCAGCTCAGTGTTGTTGGAGAAGTTTGTTAAATGGTGTACAGTACACTAGGGCCAGTGGGTATTTATCCAAGAATTCTAAAGGATTTCAAATTAGGAATTGCCAAACTTGCTGAGGCATGTAGTCTGTCATTTAACCTCAGAAGATGGGAAATGTGAAGACATTTTCAAAAAAAGGCTCCCAGAGATATACAGGAAACAACAACAAATCAGTACCTGACCTCTGTAGCGGAAATGAAGGAAAACTAAAGATAGCTAGCAGATACATAGGCAAAAAATAAATGATGGGAAAAGAGAAATAAGACTTTTGTACCAGACAGCCCAGCATTTCAAATATCTTCACATGCTCTGAAGGGATGACTGATCATAAGGGTGAAAATAAAAAAAAAAAAAGTTGGACAAATTCCTTCCCCAAAGTCTTGTTAAAGAAAACAAACTGTGGTAGGGTGTGAAGGAAGGTCCATGAAGTATTATTTTCCATTAATTATTAATTTTGAAGAAGTGACTGAAGACTTTTTTATGCAAATTAGTATCGGGGCTTTTACTACTGTGCATTTAGGGGCTCCCTAAAATTTGAGATTCTGCTCTGGGTCATGGAATTGAAAGGCTTTGTGTCTGTCCACGACTTTCTAGCGCATGGTTGTGACGTGTGGGTGCTGCCCACTTGTACTTTTCAGTTTTGTCCAGAGAGGGCTGCAGTGTTAGCTCCAGCACAGAGAAAGTAACTCAAGGTTCTGTGCTTGGAAAAGTTGTTATTGTGTTATTTTGTAAGCTTCTCCCATGGGTAGGAGAGAGGTAATAAGGGACAGAGTAGTCTATGTAGGGGTTTAGGTCACATATCTGCTCTGAAATATCGCTACTGTGAAGATGTTAGAGTTTTTGAAGATTTAATTTATAACTCACAAGGAAGCATTTGGTGCTTCTTAGCATTCTGAGAGCTTGTTTATATTGCTAGTACTTACCTGCCAGCTCTTACCATTTGTTTTCTGATCAGTACTTTTCAATTTTTTGTCTGATTAATTGAAATGGAGGAATATAAAGAATCCATCTTGTCTAGTAAATTAATAAATTAATAGGGTGGATTTGTTCAATCACTTTTGTCTACATCCAGGTCTGTGGGGATGCTTGAGTTGCTTGGCTGTCTGTGATCAGTGGGCTTAATGGTTGTACTTGTTTCCTTTCCTGTCAGGGGCTTTTTGTGGTGCTTCTGGCCCTAGGTTAGTACAATCCCTCCAGTTTAACAGGAAGAGCCAGATGTGAAAGGTTCCTTGTGGAGGATGTATTTTAAGAAGGTCTACCATTTGCCAGTGAAGGGTTTCTTGTAGTTTCCTCAGTGCTTTATGAATCTAGTGGTAAATCTGACCTCCTAAATGCATCAGTGCTGGGGCATGCACTCTAGTGCTGGAGTGCCATCACTCCTATCGTTAAACTAGTTGACAGTCCCTAACACAGTTTTGGTCTGAGCAGACTAGCCCCTCAGATTCCATTACCTGGCATGACTTGGGATCAAAGGCAAACATAACCGAGGAATTTTAAAACCTATCTTAGAACCTGCAAGCAAGAGGATTGAATGTTTATACATTTTCGGTGGCAAGCACAATTAAATACTAAAACATTTGCAACCATCTCTACCCACTGAAACATCAGACATGCCAGAAGCAGAGGACCCAGCAGTCGAGCAACTAAAAGGTGACAAAGACACTTAGGCTCAGAAAGTGATTATATCATGTAGACACAAATTGTAAATCATGTATTTTTTTCCCACAGTGTTAGTTTGAGGCCGTTACCAACCCAGAGCCGCTCCAGTCCCTCTAGTGGCACGACCATAAAATTGCACCACTCTTAATCATTTGCTGGGACCCTGAAGGCAAACTGCAATTTCGCTTAAAAGTGAATCAGTCTTGTGATTTAGCTAAAATTATGCCATCTGTATTTAGCCAGCCGAGAAGGCCTCATTCACAATCAGGGATGAAAAATGTATTTTCCTCTAACTTTGAAAACATGGCTTTTGCAGCCAAAACATTGATAACTGACTTTCCAAGAAAGATAAGTGCCGTCTTAAAAAAGTGTGGCAGAATGTTTTGAGGCAGGTACTGAGGGGAGGAAAAGCAAGGGAAAAAATGCTGTGGAGACACCTCAATTAATCTATGTCTACTTGCCTTGCGAACGTGTCAATGTTGAACTAAACTTTCATAAGCAAATTTGAAGCGAATACAAGTCTATATAACAACTCATTTCAAATCAACAAACTCTCTGTAAGGACATTTGACTTCTTAAATTATCTGAAGGCGCAGTTTGGAATCTTCAAAATTGAAGGCATATTGCTACACCTATAGCTTCTCATACAAATGACCCCTTTAAGCGGAAGTATTATTAGCTTGTGAGTCTTTCACAGGTGGTTATCAAGGTCGCACATGTACTTGAACTTTGATCTCTTTTTCATTCCCTAGAGGTGTTGCTATTATGGCTGCAGGTCCCTCTGTAGAAATGCCAGTGTCTGCACTGTATAGTCCAATGTTTCCAGGAGTTATCAAACCTGCGTATCTGCTGCAAACTGCACAGATAACCTGCAATGCATCTGGCTCATCTGGAAGGAGTTGGAGGTGTGCTGAGCCCTTTCAGCTCAGCGGTGCAGTCCCCGGTAAAGCAGGCAGCCCGTGCGTACTGCCGGCGCACAGCACGAGGCCTGTGCAGTCCCAGGGCTTGCTGTGAGCACGGGATCTGCTCCGCGTGTGCAAGGCTGGTATTTGTTCCTGCAGTAGATGTGTTAGGGAGTTGTTGGTGCTCACTCACAGCTATAGCCTGGCATCAAAAAGACTAGAGAAATGCACCACGTCTTCAGATTCTCTCCGGACAGGATATCCATCCGGAAGAGAAAGGGCTATGCCTGGAAAAACACGGATGTACGTTAGTGCATGAGTGGTGGCACAGGTAGGGGTAGAAGGAGCAAGGGCAAACTAGCCACTGTGCTCTTCTGTATTAACCAGTTGCGATATACCACTTGTTCTGAGGGCTCAGCATAGTGACAAGAAAGAGGAAAACATACCCTGAGGGTGAGTTTAATTACAGAAAGATTAATTATGCAAAAAATGAAGTACAAGATTTTAAGTGGTTGATTGGATTGTAGGCTTAAATCTCTAAACACCAGTATTTTAATTAGCAGCTGAGTAGTAAAATATCATTAGGCTTTGTTTTCCTTTCGGAGGCCTATGCTGAGCCAGCTACTGAACAGCATTTCCCCACGGTCTCGTCATACTCTGCCAGGCTCCCTGAGAAGGTCCGGGCTGGGCCAGTGGGGGACCCCAGCACAACCAGTGCCCTCTCCCCCAGGCACAGTCCCACAGGCTCTGAGCGCAGCGGGAAGAGCTGGGGCTGGAGCAGGGTCCAGCGACAGCCCAGTGATCCTCAGGGAAGGCAAAGCACAGTCCTGGAAAACCAGTCGACCAGCCAGGCTCAGCGGGAGACCACGGGCACAGGACTGGAGCCTGGCGTGAGCCGAAATGGGGTTTCTGGGACCGGAGGGTAAGGGGGTTCTCACTGAAGCCAGCTTGGGCAATGACACAACGGTGCCAAGCAGCCTCCACGCACCTTCCCTGTGGTCCGAACTGAGATCTCTGTATAGGGATGGCACAAGAGGGTGTTTGCAGGAGAGAAGGCTGGTGGTTCCAACATGTGGCACCTCGTACCTACTTGTGAGGTACCCGCAGCCCTTGGATGGCGTAGGTCAGTATGGGGCTGCTTGTACTGCTTAACAAAAATCCCACTTGAAGGCCAAGGCAGGATGAACTCTGATTTTGTATGTAACTGGTGCATTATAGGTGATGAATCCCAGGAACAGGTCTGGACTCACCTACTGAAGGATCTCTGTGCATAGGCAAAGGTAAATTTTATGACAGGATAAGTTAGACGTAAGGAAAGCAGTACATCACACAGTGATGCTGGAAAACAGTTTGGCTCCCCTGTGGATTAGTCTGTGAGCTTTGATCTCTTTTGTCTACAGTCAGACTTCATACAGACAGATGTTTAAACTGTTTTATGCTTTCACTTGTGTATCATGTATGTGTAAAGAACTCTGTATTATATTGCACCTGTAACAAAATGGATCCGAGTCTGACTAAATCAGATGCATAATCAGGGTCAAAGAATATTACCAGCCACTAGGACTCTATTGCCTCTGCTGTAGAAGTGTCAGAATAGTGTCTGACCCAGTTTTGGCCTGGGCACTCTCCCAAGCAGTTCCCAGGGCCAGTTTGGGAGTTGGGACAGGCATTCCCAATAGGCAGCTGGGACCACCCTGTTTGGTAGGGCGAGAGAGTTCAATAGCATCGCAGTGGGTTGTTCCAGGCCAGCTGGCCTTGGGGCAAGAGACCAGTGCCAGGCATATTTAATTTACTAGAATAGTAAATTAGTTGCTTCTGTGTTCTCAGAGATCCTAAAAGGGTGGCTGAACACTTGCAGAGACCTGGAGACTATGGAGTTTCAGGTCATCAGGAGAGAGGCCATCCAGTCCAGTGCAGTTTTGCCAGGGTCCAGAGGGGCTTTCTGTATGGGTTTGTTAGAGTCCGTGGCTCCAGCTGTCCTGTCCATGAGGTCTGCCTGTTTTGGGTGCTCTCTGTAGTCCAAGCTGAATGTATTCTGATGCAGGATAGTGTCTCTATCATTGTCAGAGCTGTGTCTGACCTTGGGTGAGTGACAGTCCCCACATGTGTGCATGTTCGGACAGAAGGGATCTGCACACCCTGCTGCAGGTTCACTGTATTTGGACACTTGCAGCATTAGCCTGACTTTAAGAATACCCTGTGGGAAAAGCTTCTGATCTCTCCTGGTGAGAAAATAAGCTTTAAGCTGACTTAAAAAAAAAAAAAAAAAACAAAAAACCAACAGGTAAAATCAGAAACTCAATCCTACATTTCCATTTCAAATCAAAGTAATAGAACCAGATCTGTCGAATTTTAGAAGAAAGAGGCCATACCCATCTTATGCACTTCTTGGCTTGTTGTTGAGTGACCCTAACCTGCTGAAGCTCATGCTAGGTCTATTCAAAGACAGGCTAAATGCCAAATGGGTAGAGGCAGGTAACTTGGGCAGAACTGTACTGCTTCAGACCACATCTGAATACGTCCTTCTTTAGTCAGAGAACACTTTGAACCGCCAAACTGTGTTGTGCACCACATCTCAAACTTCGGTAGAACAGGGGGCTTTGGTGCAAGAATGTGCCAAACAATTGTTCACATCACCAAAGTAGCCTCTGTGTGCACTGTATGGGCATCTTTCCCTGTAATATACAGTAGTGTGCAGTGATGAAGTCTTAATTTACAAATAGTTCAAAAGAAAAGAACATGTGTGATTGTCTCCTTAGGGGAACTTTTCAGTAATTAACCCAGTATCTTTTTTTATCATCATCTACTGCTACTTGGGAGAATTTCAAAAGGGCTGACTCGTCCAATATCCAGCACTAGCTGATTAAAAGCTTAACACATTTTTTTTTCCTGCCAGTTGGGATACTGTTTCTAGCTCCCACAGATCTGAGAGTAGCAACCGTTACCCAAAGGGGTCAAGAGATGTCCTCAGCCATTTTAGCCACATAGTAGTAATAATCACCTCTCCATATTTTCATAGGAGATATGGGGAGAAATCAGGTTAAAGGGAAGTACGGTTATGGCAAACATAAAGCTGTTCAACTATATGTAACAGTAAATAGTGGCTATTCAATCACGCGTCTCTGCCTGTCCTTGCTAAGGCCTGAAATGACACAGACATTGCTCATATACATCCTTCCATTCATTCTTGCATTCATTCATTCATGCAAGCCCAAGGCTCACTCTCAAAAACACCTCCCGCTGACAGCATTGCTGTTTATTCATATCAGGCCTTTGCTGCTGTCATGCTTCATTTTGGAGATGTAATGAGGCATTAATGCTTATGTTTGATGTGTGAACTGTGTCAAAAGTATCCTGTTCTTCTGAGCTCTGGATCCATCAGAATCCACCATAAAACGTGGACAAAATCGCCATTGTTTGAAAAACTGACATAGCCCCCCTGATAGAGCATTTCAGCGGGTAGGGAGGAAGCAAGTATATGTAGCACTTACTACATCCCAATCCTTTTAATTGCTTAACCAGTTCCTTCTCCTGGCTCCTTTTGCTTTCTCAGACTCACACCCAGCCTCCACCCTCTCTTTTGTCGTCTAAGTCCTCCTATTACCCGGCTTACCAGCACTGCGACACTGCTCTATGTGCCAGGCAGCCCCTGCTCTTCATCACAACTCAGAGAGGCCAACCAGAGACCTAGATAGAGTTTAGACATGGTTTGGGGAAGATGGGGACCTTTTTTCCAGTAATTCTTTCCAAAGTTTAATGCATCTTTCTTCAGGAAGGCTTAAATTTAGTGCTGATACCTAAAAATACCCACCAAAAATGATTTGGGGAATGGTAGCCACATAGTTTTTCTATGCTTCACCAATCAAATCGCACAACAGATGACAGCCTGGACAGTATATTGCAGCATGTATTTGATGGATACAACTAATTTGTCATGGATTTCCTGCAGTCTCATCATGTTACCACAGTTAACATACAGCAAAGAGTTCTAGAATGGCAAGTGACACTGAGGGCTTCACTTCTGACATTACTGAAACTCATCAAAGAAATATAATTGACATTGTCTGAAAAATCTTAGCACTTGTATGGGGGCTGATTGAGCCCCTGACTTCACAAGTTGCATATAAAATCTTTGACTGAAAATCCTGTGCATATGTTTTTGATTCTCCCCAAAAACTAACAAATGAATGAACGAAAAAGTGACTCATTAGTAGATCCTGGGATAACAGATATACTCTCATGTACCGTTTTTATTTTCTGCTTTTTGTATCAGAGTGAATTGGATGAGAATCAAATACAGATGGCTGGAGATGATGTGGATGTGCCAGAAGACCTTCAGAAAATGGTGGAAGAAGACCAGGAGGAGGAAGAGGACAAGGACTCTATCCTGGGACAGCTGCAGAACATCCAGAATATGGACATGGATGCGATCAAAGAAAAGGCACAAGCCACCTTCACCGAAATCAAACAGGCAGCTGAGCAGAAATGTTCTGTGATGTAGAAGAGACACCACTATCCAAGGATTGTGAATTCAGCCTTGCCTCACAGGGGCTGCAGAGTCAGGGCAGGCAGAGGAATGCGCTTAGCTCTATAGCATTAATGTAAATATAGAAAAGCAAAAGAGAGAGAGAGACTTGAAAACCCCAAGGAGTGGTCAAAATTTACGTGTTGTGACAGCTTGGTGCAAAGTTAGAACTGATTCTCATTTTTTAACAGAACATCTTTCCCCGTGGAAAACAATGGCTTTAAAAAAAAGCTAATCTTGGAGAAAAAAATGTGCCTTTTTCCATTTTTTCAAAGTGATCAAAATGCTATTAAGTATGTATTTTTTTAGCAAAATTGTGCTTCTGATGCATAACATACAGGTAACCACTCATTTAAAACTTTCAGGAATAAATACATATATTTCTAATAAAAACATGTCTGTTTCAAACATTTTGAAATACACCCAGTATTCAAATGTTGACGTTTCCTGCAAAAACTTTTTAAAAAAATGGTTTTGACCATTTCTGTACTAAATGTAGCAAAAGGCAAAAAGTGAAGCATATAACTACAGCTTGGGGCAAAACTCTCATATATAACTGAGTGGGGACTTTCAGGAAACCAAGGCTTGGTGGCTATCAGCGAACCATGGTCAGGCAACAACACAGACTTCTCCAGGCTGCTTTAATTTCACAGCTTCTTGGTCTTCACATGCAGTTCAAATGTCAAGTGACAGCACTGACCCTCTGCTTGGCTGCTACGTGTGCCAAATTCTGAGGCTTTGGGGTATGAGCAAATAACTTGCATAGGCTCAAATGAGCTCACCACATTTATTCTAGGAGTTATCACCTTATGAGGCTATACATAAATCTGGCCCACCTGGAAGATTATGCCAGGGCAAGGCACCTAAACCCTGAGAAAAAGCATGGCTTTCACTAGTGCTAAATCTGACCGAGTCAGTGGGACAGGCAGGCTCCGGTACAACGGCTTTAGATTCAGGACCAAGCAAGTTTTTCTTTGCTGTTGTTCAGTTCTGTTCTGGGGAAAACCTAAGCAGGTGGTGACCTGATTGCCTCCCACCCCCAGCAAGCAGAGCCGACGTTGGCTAAGAGCTGGAGGACCTTCCTACAGGTTTATAAGTCTCTTTCTCTCTCTCTTTCTCTGACTCCACCCAATCAAGTAAAAATATTCATTTAAAATGAATAAATGCACTAAGAATGGTTTGTCTCTTTTCCTTCTTTCTGTCTTTCCCTCCCTATGTCCCTCCCTCCTTCCTTTCCTCCCTCTTTCCCTCCCTTCCTTCCTTTCCTGCCTTCCTTCTCTCTTTTGTATTTTCACTCTTTTTTCTCTCTCTTCCTTCCCTCCCTTTCTCTCCCCTCCTATCCTCTCCTCTCTCCTCTTTCTTTCTCTCACTGTTTCTTCCTTAGTCCTAGTACCAGGTCTTGGCCTGTGAAGTGCAGAAGATACAATTACAATGCACTCCAGATGTGGAATCCACTCTGTACAGAGCCTCCTTCGCCTGGGCTGGTTCATGTCCTCCAGCCCCACAGAACAGTGGTGGCTCTGCCGAGCCCCAGTGACTTACGGTGCTTTGCTGAGAGAAGCTGGGTGGTCCAACAGACCAGCTTTCTGGAGGGTCCCATCACCAAGAGGGAGGATCCTCTGGGGGTTGCAGCAAACAGCTGGGTGTCCCCAGCATTAGGTACAGGAAAAACCTTTGTATCTGGCAACATGAACCATGCCTTGTGAACACCTTTATTGCCTCCACGAGTCACTCCCTGGGCACACTCAGGATGACAGGTCTGTCACCCAACCTGGCAGCCCCAGTTAAACTCTTGCTGCTGCAGGTCGGCCGGCAATGCCGGGGTGAAGCGCGTGCGCTGGGTAAAACTGGGGGTTCACCAGGTAGCCCGCCATGCCCGAGCCGTGCAAAGCATCCTCCCACACCTGCCTGGGATGGGCCCCCTCCCTGCAGAGGGGGACAGCAGTCGCCCCCAGCACACAGTTGCAGTGCCAGACGCACAAAGTCCTAGGGAGGATTTAAGCCTGTGCCATGCCTGCCGTGTTTCACCAGTCACTTGGGAAAGGAGGACAAAGTCTCCTTTTTGTCAAAGCCACCTCTGCAGTGAGGCAGAGAGGAGTGCGAGGGACCTTGGACCTGCCTCCCCACTGCAGTCCTGCCTGGCTGTCTGGACCCCCAGTGCAGCCAGCCACTGTCCCCGGTGCACCCCCGCGACTCCCCGGCAGCAACGCTGGGTTACCAGTTTAGGGACAGGTAGGGGTGGCTGGCGTCGGTCCTGTCCTCCGTGGGACAGGTCTGTGTAGGGGGCTTCTTGGATGCGAGAGATCATCTTGGAAAAGCTCTTTCAGCACCCACTATTCAAATATAAGCTGCACAGACTTCTTTGAAAACCTGTTATCAGGTATTTTCCCCATTATAGTCCTGAGAAAATATGCCTTTTCTTCTTGATGACTTCTTTCTTAAGAAACACAGGAGTTGTCAAGTTTACCTTTCTTGTTTTTTTCCAGAGGATGCCCTGGTCCATTCAGAGGGATGTCAGTGGCTCTTGTATGTGTCTCTGGTGAAGAAGATCTACCTCCAGCATATTCATTGAGCATCAGAGCTAGCAAATTCTAACTTAGCTTGAAACACTCAGCCTAAAACCACCAAGACTTCTGATCCGATTTCTGTCTCTTGGGATCCTTCCCTCACATGTCACCAGAGAATATAGTTATCTATGTGAAAAGACAAGTGGGCTCTTTTAGGAGGTCTTTACATAAAATAGTTAAAATAGATGACAGCTCAGCTCAACCAGCCTTTGGTTTGTGAGGCTCAGTCCAATTCCCTCTGTATTTGTACAAATCTGGTGTCTCCATACCCTTCTGTTTCTTTACAGACTGAATTGTCTTATCTATAAAACACCAAAGTAAACAAGCCTAAGGCTTTGGACCTTTGAATTAAAATGTGCCTAGGACATCCTGAAAATCTTACTGAAAGCAGCTGGTGGTTTAAAGGAGCTAATTAAATTCGTCAGCACATATAGGATCAGCATTTTCACGGTTTAAAGGGTCAGAGAAGAAAGTACAGTCAGGATCACCAAACAAGCAATTAATGAGATTCCAAAAAAATGTCAGTGCTGGCAGAGGCAAGCGGGGCTGGGAGGCAGCTGGGGGCGGGACGGAGGCCCTCCCCATCCACAGTGTGGGAGCTCCCCAGCCCTGCCAGTGGCCACAGCCATGCTGATCTGCTGCTGGGAGGGGAGTGGGCTGCCACAGTCACTGCTTTTAGAGCCAGAGACTTAAAAACTCTCGGTCTGGAGCGGCAGAGCTGGGCTACGTCTCAGGAGGTGCTGTCTTCTGCCCTGAGCTCCTGTGCACAGACGGATGCTGGGGCCAGGGCTTGCACCCAGGGGGTGGTAGGGCATACCACATCCTGGCCAGCACTGTTGCCCCAAATCCCCCAGAGAGCCCCCGCACAGGGCAGCGTGGTGGCCAGGGCGCAGCTGCAAACCTGCCCTGCCCTCAGCTGGGCCCAGGTCCCCGCCACGCTGCAGCCCTGCTCCCTGCCAGCACCCGCGTGGCTCATCCCTCCAGCACCCACCATCCCTGTCCGCGGGCACCAGCTGCAGGCCTGGGGAAGCACCCGGGGCCCCACGGGGTACCCACCACCGGGCGTGCAGCTCGCTCGGTGCTTAGCCCAGAGGAGAGATCACGGGGGAGCCCGGAGTAGAGCGGGCAGGCAGGCAGAACACTGACTCTGCTCCAACTCTTAAGAAAAAGGAAAGAAGGTCTCTCTCCAGCGTCCTGCACTAAGCAACCTTTCTCCTAAGGCTTCTGGAACCCACTGAATGTGTGTGCATGTGCATGTGTGTTGGCACGTGCATACAGGGATGCACTTGTGTGCATAGGTGTGCACAAACACATGCGGCTATGCATGTGTCTGCGTGTAGGGGTACATGGCTGTATGTGTGTGTATGACTCTCTGTGTGTGTTGTGTGTGTGCTGCACAGAAGAGGAGCAGATTAAGGCGTTGGGTCACATGGGAGCTACTGCTGAACGGACCCTACCTGGGATTTGGGTTCTTATAGTTAATAGGATCGCTGGAGCTCAAGACTGTCATCCCATCAAGATAAATACCTCTAGTGCCCACTTTTAAGCAATTTGAATTCAATTAGGCTAATTGGAAAACAAGTAAAGAAGGATTGCATTAATATAGCCTTACAGCATGAACCTCCACTCCCTCCCTCCAGAGGGACGGCTGAGCACAGTGAGCCAGAACGCCGGAGCCCTTGCACCGGTCCCATGCTGCTCCCCACCCAGAAAGGGCTGCCCCGCTCCCAGAGCAGCCAGGGCTGATTCCATACCCACCGCCAGGACGGGCTCCACGGAGGCTCAGCACGCTCCGTGGGATTCCTGCATGCCACAGAGAACCTGGTAAGAGGTGGGCAAACACAACCAACTTTCCTAAGGGCAGATAAAGAAAAATCTCACCAGCAAAAAAGCAGGGGACTGTCAAGGTACGTCTGACGAAGTGAGAGGAGGAGGCAGCAGCTTAAACTGCACACTTAGGAGCTTCTGGGAAGAAAAAAAGAAAAGGCAGTTTTTTCAGTTTTCAACAACCCGTTGGATGATACAGTGTATGCAAACTGCAGCAGGGTACAGGTTCCCACTGGCTGAATATTTCCCCCTTCTCCTTGCCCCCCTCCCTTGTCGATTTGCTGTCTGACCTTGAAAGTCCTGTTTATCTTTCAGGGAGGTGCTCCCTGCTGCACATCACTGGTCTGGAGAGAGATGTCCCACCTATAGAGTGACTACAGCTTCAAATGTCTGCTCTGCAAGGCAGTAATTATTTCAGCTTGACATAAAGAAAAGACAGGAGGAAGAGAAGCGAGAATCTGTGGCGTTTTATGATGCTGATTTCATTCTCTGAAGGCATGTCCCATACATATGTCTCAACAGCATCAACAGGATCAAACCCATTCCCATTTAGTCTTCATTAGGCATGAAGAGGAAGGAGGTATAGCAGACAACTGTGCTTTAGAGATTGTATATCTTGAGAATTTTTGTTAGCTTCCAAACATAATTTCAGCATTAATAATACGTTGCAAAAAAATAAAAAAAAAAAGTGATAGAATGGGGGCTATCTTTTAGAAGGGCAAGTAACAAATATCACCTATTTCATCCCCTAATGAATATTCTCAAAATTGACCCTACTTGCCCCTGTAAATTTCCAAAGGTAAATGGTCTCTGCGAAGTTGTGATGTACCACAGTATCAATTTCTGAGGCTTCATATTAGTACAACATACACCCCTCTGGACTCTGTGGCAGCAAGGGATTTAGCTAGCAGCCAGTGCATTAGACCCAAAGGGAAATGGTCAGTTACCTTTCTTTGCCATCCGAAACTCCCTGTGTTGGTCTCTGATGAGCAGCGGAACTGTTACACCTCCCACCCTCCCCAGAGCAGCATGATGCCTCATGCGCGTGTCAGGGCACCACGGTCTGTGCCTGAAGCATGGCAAGAGAAAAAAGAGAGACCTGGAGCTGGAAGAGTCAGAGCTGCTCTCTGCTCTGCTACAGGGTTGTGGGTTTTTTCAGATTTTTACGGATTGTGACTAAGGGAGTTGCTTCCTCTTTCAGCAACTCCACTCCCCTGCAAGAAGGATGCTACAGTGACAAATGCAGTTCCGTACAGCAAATGCAACAGTAATAATCTACTGCTGAGGAAAGAGGCTCCTTCTCTATTAGGGAGGAAGGCCTCTCCTGTACTGTGTGGGATGTGTACCCTGCTTTGGGGGTGGAAGTTTCTTTGCTGTACATTCGCATAGTGATTAACAGCAAAAAAAAAAAAAAAAACAAGTCTTGTCCCTCTATTTGACAATTTTGACAGGTGCCCAAAAAGCAGCATCTGTGCCAGGATCCAATGCCCTTTATGGCACTTACTGCCAGACCAGAGTCTGGCTAAATGGGTTTTGCTCCCTCATCTCACCTTGCTATCTTTTTTGCTAAAAGAAGCGAAAAGGATTCCCGAGTTTGCTCAGGGCTTCTGGAGGGATAGGCATGTTTTGTGCTGGTTGTGAGTGCCATAAAACCCCAGCTCCAAATTAGAAGAAATTAGGGACATTGCACAGTTCATTCATCTTCACTAATAGAGTTCTTGGGAAATACACATGTAGATTAAAGGAACACAATGGCCCCTGGCTGATTGCTTTCAGTACCCTCCAATGCCCCTACAATGGTATTGACTTGCTTTTCATATTGTGCACAAAAGCCACACTAACCTTTTCTTGTCTGTCTGTTGGCCTCTTCCCTCTTTGCCAACGGATGGCTGAGTTCTTTCGGCCCCAACCCACCCCGTCCAGAAGTAGTCAGTGAAGGCAAACCTTACCTGGAGCTAGCAGGGAAAGCTGAGCACTTCTAAAAGGAATTAACTTTGCGGCATCAGACCATAAACCTGAAAAAGGTGTGGGCATTGGCAGAGGCAAGCACTGACAATCTTTGTTTTGAAGCGATTCCTCTGAAAAAAATCTACACTCTCGTTGGGGCAGGGAAGCAAAAAGGGAAGATTTGTTGAGAGATATCATGCCTTTTATTAGACTAGCTAACATATCTGGAAGATGAAGCAGCAGCAGTGGTGTTTTTCATTCACATACACTCTCAGAAGCATCTTCAAAGTTAACTGCAGGCTGAAAACCACTCTGGACGTTACTGTGTTTGTCTTAAACCAGCTAGGATAAAAGATGGCTGGTGTCTCAGAGGAACTTGCAAGTGCTGGTGTAAAAAATGATAGTGATGGAAAACCAGGAAAAATACTGATGTGGGAAGGACTATATTGGAGGCAGGAGCCATGGACAGTACTGTGCTGAGTCCATGTCCTCCACCAAGCCAAGTACAAAGTTAGGTGTGGGATCTGGCTCACTGCCTTACTTCTAAAAGCATTCTGTAGCTCTCCCATGAAGCCACGCCGTGCCCCCGAGCCTCCCAGCCCCAGTCACATGTAGAGGACAGGGTCACAGAATCAGCTCTTCTCACAGGGTCTGTCCTATATCAACATATTAGAAAATTTCCTCAGAACTATTGCCTAGCACTTTCCCCTGACTTGTGAAGGCTGAAAGGCTGAGCCCACCTCCTTCAGCATCCATTCTTGCCAAAAGCCCGCAAGCATTTTCACTGGGTCTGTAAACGCGGCTTTGAAGGCAGCCAAATGCAGGGCAAGCACCCCGACAAGGGACCAAAGCGTCCGCTTTTACCCCCGCCGATTCTTACCCTGTGCATTCGACAGAACCGCGCCACGGCATCCTCCTGCACGTCATCTTTCGAGAGGCTACCTATGAGACCGATGCACTTAAAAAATGCCTGGGACAGACGGAGGCTGGAGCTGTCGAGCGAGAGCAATTCGGAGAGGCTTCGAGAGCCCACAGGGCAGGGGAGCGAGCCGGGCACCCCCCGCGCCCTGCCCCGGGGGTCCCGCCCCCACCCAGCCCCTCCACGAACGCCCTTTTGCCGGGCCCGTCCGCCGGCGCCCGCACTGCCGGGCCGGGCCCCCCGCTCCCGGCGCTCCGGCAGCCGCCGGTCCCACGACGGTTTCCGACGGCCCGGGGAGCCCCTTGCGGGGCTCGGCCGGCCGCCGGGCCGGGGCCAGCCGCCCGCAGCCCCCGGGGGCTGGCCCGCCCCGCCTCGAGGGCCCCGGATGGCATCTCCCGGCGCCGTCTGGGGCCGGGGCCGGCGGGGCGGGGCGGGGCGGGGCGGGGCGGGGGGGCGGCGGGCGCTGCCGGCGGGGCCCGTGGGGGGTGCCGGAGCGGCGCGGGGGCCTCGCCTTCCCTCTCGCCCACCGCCCCCCCCCGGCACTCCTCCCCCGGCCCAAGGAGGCCAGCCCGCCGGGCGGTGCCGTGCCAGAGCTGCCCGCGCCGCCTCGGGGCCGGGCGGGACCGCAGCGCCGCGCCGGGGCCCCGGGCCAGCCGCCCCATCCCCATGCACCCGCCCGGCGCCCTGCTCGCCATGGCCGAGGGCGCCTTCTCGCTGTCCGCTCAAGCGGCGCGGAGCCCCGGGGGGAACCCGTCGAGGCTCCACAGCATCGAGGCCATCCTGGGGTTCACCAAGGAGGACGGGCTGCTGGGCCCCTTCCCGCCCGACGGCAGCGCCGGCAGCGCCAAGGAGGCGGACAGGCGGGGGCCCCGGCACTGCCTCCCCAAGATGCCCGGAGAGCCGCCGCCGGCCGAGCCCCAGGGCCGCGCCGAGCGCTTCCAAGGTGAGCGCGGCGGGCGGGCGCCTCTCCTCCGCGCCTTCGGGCGGGCCCCGCGGGGAGATCGCCCTCCCGGTGACCCGCCTGTCTTCCCCCTCCCTCCCAGAGCCGTACTGCCCCGGCAGCGCCAGCCCCGAGCTGCCCGCCGGCAGCAGCGGCGCGGGGAAGCCGTCGGACGAGGAGCAGCCCAAGAAGAAGCACCGGAGGAACCGCACCACCTTCACCACGTACCAGCTCCACGAGCTGGAGCGCGCCTTCGAGAAGTCCCACTACCCGGACGTGTACAGCCGCGAGGAGCTCGCCATGAAGGTCAACCTCCCCGAGGTCCGCGTGCAGGTAACGCCCGGCCCCGGGACCCCGCGCCCCGGGACCCCGCGCCCCGCCCGGCCCGGCCCGGCCCGGCCCGCCGCAGCCCCGCCTTCCCGGCGCCGGCAACTCCCGGCGCGGCGTGGACCCGCGCTCCCGGCGGCCGGAGGAGCACGGCCCCGGCGTGCGGTGACCCCAGCCCGGCACCGGCACCGCTACCGCGGCCGGTGCGTGGCGGAGCGGCCCCTCGGAGCACCGCCCGAGCGCCGGGCGCGGCTGCAGCCGGCGCCGTCCCCACGGGCCCCGACGCGGCGGCCCCGGCCCGGCCCGGCCGGACACCGCGGAGCCCGGGGCTGTTTTCCCTTCGGCAGCCGCGGCGTCGGGACGGTGCCCGGCCCCTCCGGCTGCCTCGTCAGCGCCGCTGCCCTTTGGCTGCCGTGTCGCGGCCCGGGGCAGCCGAAGCCGCCGAGCGCCGGGGCGGTGGCTAGCGGGTGGCTAGCGGGTGGCCGAGCCGGGGTCGGGGGGGTGGGCAGGCAGAGCGGGTCGCCTCCGCCGCGGGGCTCTCACTGCGCTACGTCCTCCGCGGTGCTGCTCTCCGCCGAGCGCGGGTCTGCGGGTCTGCCGAGCCCGTGGGGAAGCGCGGCTGAGCCCACTCCGGCCCCGGCTCAGCACAGAGCACTGTCTGCAGCTCTGCTGTGTTTCACTCGCTCCATTTCGCGTGTGCCACTGCGCCCAGGGGAGAGCCTCTGCCTTCCGTGCCGTTCTGTGGCCCGGCTAACGTGGCTGTGCTTGCAGGTGTGGTTTCAGAACAGACGGGCCAAATGGCGGCGGCAGGAAAAGCTGGAGGTGACCTCCATGAAGCTGCAGGACTCGCCCATCCTCTCCTTCAACCGCTCACCACAGGCAACATCCATGGGTCCTCTCAGCAGCAACCTGCCCCTGGAGACGTGGCTCAGCCCGCCTGTGCCCAGCGGCACAGCCCTACAGACCCTGCCCGGCTTCGTGGCCTCGCCGCAGAGCCTGCCCGGCAGCTACACGCCACCACCCTTCCTGAACTCTCCAGCAGTGACCCATGCGCTGCAGCCCCTGGGGGCCATGGGGCCACCGCCGCCTTACCAGTGCGGGGCCACTTTTGTGGACAAGTTCCCCTTGGACGAGGCAGACCCGCGCAACACCAGCATTGCCGCCTTGCGGCTGAAGGCCAAGGAGCACATCCAGTCCATCGGCAAACCCTGGCAGACAATCTGACCTCCCCCTTCAGCTCCTGGGAGAAACCCACGGGGAGGGCTGATCCCAGGACGCCCAAGGGACGCTCTGGCTCCCCCGGACAGCCAGGCAAGGGAGGGCTGTCCCTTGCACCAGCCTTGGCTTGCTTTGTATTTTGTGGTCCTTTTAATGCCCTTTTCTACATGCCTTGCAGAGTTAGGGGCCTGATCATAGCTTAGGAAAAAAAAAAAAAAATTCTCTTTTGATCTCCCTCCTTGGCTGGACGCTTTAGATGCAATAAAAGCTGCAGTAGGGCGAAGAGCTGTGTGAGGTGGCTGAGAACTGAGGCCTGTGTTACCTGGGGAGGGTTTTCTGCTTTTGTACCATTAAATGGCACAACCTGCATTGAGGGCTGTGCATCGTGTTTCTGCACCTGAAGCGGCTGCTCAGGCCAGACCCTCCAGTGCCTGTGACACGCAGAGTGGTGGGACAGGCCTGGCCGTGGGCCCTCCTCCCGCCCCCTCCAGCAGCAGGACCCTGCCCAAACTGGCTGCGAGCACTGGGGGCTGGGGGCTGCAGCTCCCCGCTCGGTGAGGAGGGGCCAGGGTCCTGGTGGTCTGTGGGCCGGGCACAGCACTCCCACAGCTGCCCTCGTGGGGCAGCCCCGGGTTCCTATGGGCTTTGCCCACCCCTGCCCCAGCAGCCTGGGGTCAGTGCCAGCCCCTCAGCTCTTGCTGCCTCCTCAGAGAAGGGGGCCAGGAGGTGCTGCAGGGCCCCGTGCCCCCCGAGGAGCCCAGCTGCCCTTGGGGGGAGACGGGCAGTAGCTGACAGGGCTCTGGACACAGTTAGCAGGGCCCGCGGGGTGCATCCTGCCCGGTGCAGCCCCCCAGAGACTGGCACAGCACTGGGCCGTGCTCGCTCCCCTGCCCACCCGGTGCCCATCACCAAGCTCCCAAAACTAAAACTGCAGCGTCCTTATTTTCCATTATCTCTGTTACTGCCTGTAATGGGGCTGAGAAGCTGTAATGAAACACCCCTTCTCCTCCACTGGGCATGGGGTGCTCTACACACTCTGGAGGTTGTGGCAATTAACGTTTCTCATTAGGGAAGAGAGAAGGACGCACAAGCGCCCTCATTGTATCCTGGGGATGATTCAATGCAGACTGGGAGACCTCTCCTTTCACCATTTCCCACTCGTTGTGGCCAGACAAAGGCTGGCATCTAATTATATTTTCACAATCTGTGCGTATCTTTTAAGAGTCCTGTCAGAAACAAGTATGTCAGCTTTGTTCAGCTTCACTTCAGAGAGCTTTTTAACCTTAGACGGCAGTTTCTAAACATCCCTTAACAGCCTTCTCCACAGCAGCCCCCATCTATTGTCTGGAGAGCTTTTTTACAGATAGTAATAGGAATCCCTCTATTTTGAAACGCCTTTTCCTCTCTCTCTGGCCTCCCTGCAGACCCAACCTGCCTCTCTGAACCAGAGCACACGCTGTGCCCAGGCCCCCAGCCTTCCCTTCCTGAGCTGTGCTGGTCCGGGGGGGTGCAGGGAGGCCCAGTGCATGAGCCCTGGTGAATTCAGGGGTCTTGTAGCCCTGCTACAACCCTCCCGTGGGGCTCTGGACCTGTCAGTGGCACTGTATGTGTGTCTGTGACGGTGCTCAGCCTCTCCAGCACACAGCTCTCTGCTTCCTTGGCAAAGAAAGTGCTGTGCTGTCAGGAAAAGAAAGCGCTCTCACTGTTGAGACCGAGGAAATGTTTTGCTAACTTCTAGTAAGGAGACCTGAGTAAAATTCTGCGGGGAGGGGAGAACAAAATCCATACTGCTTCACTTTTTAGGTCTTATTCCAGTGGCCCTTTCACCGGTGAGCTTTGAATCACCAAGGATGCTGGGCTTGCAAGATGGCACGTCTCCTCTGGTGGCTACGAGGGAAGGATGTCTCGGTGTGTTTGGGAAGTGCCTGCGTACCCTGGGCTGTGTCAGCAGCGGACACAACCCTAACAAATGACTGCACAGGCTCTGCACACTCTTCCTCCTCAGGGGTAGGAACAATCCCACTTGTCATTGCTTGGCTGCAGCCCAGCTGCGACTCTGGTGCTGGAAACTCTCCTGCATGTGAGTACATTTAACTGTTGCCCAAAATCTCTTACCTATGCTCATGATGAACAGGCAGATCTCCAAGATTTCAGCGGCGTTCTTCCACATTTTGACACTACTACCTCCAGTTCTGTATCCTGTAAAGCCACTGGAAAGACCCCTCCTGACTTTGATCAGCGCTGTAACCAGCACCGACGCTTGGTTACTTGTAGTCGAAGGCTAACTGTAGATAAAAACACAGTGACAGGACGGCAGAAACAGCATCTGAAAACCTCTGTTCACTTTTATTAAGCACCTGATCGAACACCTGTGAGCAAAAAATGAAAGATCATGTCACGCTGTGGTGATTGTTCTTTTATTGACATATTAAGCAGGTCTTTTGTTATACATTGTACATGAGAACCCTGTAATGGATACACCGTGTGCAGACATGTCCTTCAAGGAAAGCTCTGAGTTTACTGCTAAAAATAAGTATTTTCACCAGCTAAACATAAGTGGGCATAGACAGGTAAATATTTTTCAAACAAAAAAAGGGACAGAAGCATATGCAAACTCCTATATTTCTTGTATCCTGTCTAGTCTTCTGTGTTCCTACACTTTCTTCCAAATTGTTCCATTCCATTTTAAAAGCTCATTTGTTCATTTTGTTGTAAATATCTTCTCCTTCTTAATTGGGTGCTGAGTCTAATAATCCTGCCTCGGCTTGTTAACTGTACAATAGCAGTCAGAGTTAATGACCCATTAGTGATTAATTCCTTAAACAGCATCTAATTGCTCACTGTAAAACCTTTTCTTAAAACTGGATTAAATCATCTAGATCCTTAACCACTTCTTTACTCTAACTTTGCTAAAGCTATTAGCCTGGTCTTTTCCGAGCGATCTATTTATTCTTTTACTTAAACTGTATCAGCAAGATAGTATTTTTAGTGTCTGTATTCAACTTCTTTGCAACATCTGAAGTTCTAAGGAAGAATAATACCAACAGAAGAATGTCAGTGAGAATATTAAGAAATTTACTCCTGTGCAATGAGACAACTGCAGACAGTGAGTTTTGTTATGATAACCATGGCATACCACCTTCTGGGAAAGGTGGACTTGTAGGACAGGGTTTGCCAGCGGTCACAGCTACTCATGGAAGTGTGTAGGCTTTGGCAGGTGAAGCTGTAAATAGTGCTCAGAGTTTTCCCAAGAGCAACTTGATCTTTACTCAGTGTCCTGCATATGGGGCAGTCCACAAAGGCTGCACAGGAGACTTCTGGGAGGGATTGCTACACGGAGATGAATCCTTGCTGCCCTTCCATGGGCACAGATCCCTGCTGCTGCGGGTACCGCACCTCTTCTCAACGCAGGGCAAATGACTAGTGAGGAGGGGCAAACCTTGCTGGGAATGGGACGCAAGGCAAGTTGTGTCTGCTACCGGTCCAACTGGACTCTCCCATCATCAAACAGGCCTTGGGGAGGACAACCAGTGTCAGAAGCTGAGGAGCTCTTTCCCCTTTCCTTCCCTGTTGGATTTCACTGGGTGAATAGCCTGAACTGGGACCCTAGCTGTGTTTGGAAAGCCTAGTTCATTCCCAGGTAGAGCCCACATGACCAGTCTGAGCTTCCTATTTTTAACTGAGAAAATGATGAATGGATATATATTTCTTTATATTATGCAAACCATTAAATTGTCCACTTTGCAATTGCTTCAAAGTTCTGGAAAAGTAAAATCAAACTGCCATCTCTGCATCTGCTTCATCTGTAGCAATGTCTTCACTGGAAATGAGGATAATCCTGGGTGATTTCTCATTAAGATGCGAAAGGCAGAGAGAGGCTGTTTTTCATGAGAAGTCTTTCCATTAGGCCTGTCTGTCTTTGCCCAGCCCAGAAATCCCAGGCTTAACATACAGAAGTGTAAAGTTGCATACAGGTCAGTAACATGAGCTATGCAGGAGAAAAGACAATTACTATAAAGAGCTTTGAAGATCTCTGAATTAAAAATTATGAGGAAATGGCCATCATGAAACTCAGTCCTAATGGCACCATTTCTCAGCAGACGGTGTATTCCAATCATTCTTCCTTCCCAGACCTGTTCAAAATCCTGTCAGTATTCAAGAAAACCAGTGAGGATACCTGGCCTGTTTAAGCCAAGGAGAGTTTTGACCTGGAGTTCAGCTCAGTTGCTTTCCAGTGGAGCAAGGCTGGCCCTCTGTCCAGGACTGGCCCTCAGTCCCTGCGGGATGGGGTCAGGAGAAGTTGTCATCCCCTGTGGAGCAGGGGTCTAGCCATTGCGTTTGCTCCACAGCCATGACAGGCCACAGGCCCTGTGAGATGAAAACACACAGAGCTCAGTCACAGTTTAAATTTCTGTTATGAGTTGTTGGGGTTGAAAGCAATACTGTTCCCCTATTATGTTGAGGGTGTGTCAGTGTCTGCAGGCAAGATGGAAAGATGAAGGATCTTCTTTCCATCTGCCTCTGCTACATCTGACAGGGATTTCAAGTAAGAACACTCAGTTACTACTGAAAAATCTCGAGTATCTGTTCAAAGGTCCTGGCTACATCCTTGGGACTTTATCAGCTTCCTTCAGTAGTTTGTCAACCAACAGAGTACCCGTTTACAAAATGCTGTCACAGGAGAAGATGGTGGAATAAAACAAACAGAAGAGAGCAGGGCGAAAAGCTGGTTAGACCATGACACTGGTCACTCTGACAACATTACCAGTTTTTCTGGTAGACTGCATATTGTGTCTCCTCTCTCTGAGCATCTCTGTGTTCTGCCAATGCATGATGTGAAAATTGGCTGACATTTGACAGTCATCCCACTGTCATATGACATTTCTGCCCCACTGAGAACTGTGAAATCAGCTTTGAAATGTTTGGTTCTGTGTAGAGACACAAAGTCAGCTAGGCAAGACATTCAGGAGAGAGTTTAAATGGAGGCAGCAGACATTTGGATAGAGGCAAGAAGAGATAAGAACCAAAGCTTTGGCCACTGATACAGAAGGGAGTGTTGGGGTAAACAAGGAGGATGGTGTTCCAGCTGCTGACCAGTGCAGGTAGGTCAGATATCCCTCCTTTGACTCCATCTCTGTGAAGAGGCAGGTGCAGGGAGTAAAAGACAGGCCTCTGGGGAAATCCAGAATGTCAAGGAGGAGATGCTAGTTTTAAGTAAGGCCTCCTCAGGAAGACTGACTCACCAGCTGCTTGTTCTTGCTCAAATGCCTCTGCTGGCTGCAGCGCAACTCAAAACCAGGATGGCTTGTATGGCAGGCAAACCTGCTGCTGTTCATGGCTTCGTAGTTTAGGATGAACCAGTCATAAACATGCTCCCCCATCCCTTCCCCATAACATCCTGAAAAATACTCTTCCAGTTTATTTGATGCTGCCTCTGTGGGATAGGGGAGTCCCATTTTACATGCAGAGAAACTGAGGCACGGAGAAACATGACTCACCCAAGGTGAGGCCGGGATGGCATGACTGAGTTGCCTCATGCCTCTGGTGCCATTTGAGACCCTTTTGGGTAGTGTGAGCCTGGCATAGGCTTTGCAGGAGACCCCCCAGATAGCTGGAAGCCAAAGTTGCTAACAGCAGTAGATGCCTGTGCTTAGCATCCCACCTGGAGTCTGCACAAAGATCTCACAAGTCTTTGGATAGGTGCTTTGGCTTCTGGGCCAGGCTTCTTCTATTTCTTGGGTGTATAACACACACACGTAGTCCCACCAATGACTTTGGCCATATGAAGACTAAAGACAACTTCTCAAGCAACTTTTTGTGATGCTCCTCTTATTTTGCTCAACACCTTCCTCCACTGTGCCTTCATCACTGCCAAGATTGGGCAGGGGAAGGTTGATTCAAATATGTGAGCAAAGCTTTCTGCGGACAGCCTAGTATCCCTGAGGGTACGTGGTGCTCGGTGAGCTGCTGCACCCTTTGTGCAATGTGAGCAACCTGTACCTTGCTGAGGAACTGAGCCTCCCCTCCACTGTGCCCCATAAAGAGCTGTCTCCTGCTTCTCCTGCTCTTCTAGGAATTCCTCCTTTCTATTCTATTTCTAAGCAGCTTCCTTCTGGGTGTCCTGGCAAAGCACTTGGGTATAGCTGTCCCAGTCTGGCCTTGCGCTGAGCCAGAAATCAAACCACTTGATGGCAGAACCCAGAGTGCACATGAGCTGTCTCACATGGCCTTTTCCACAGATCCTTCCTCCGGGTGGGAAGAGCGCCTTGGAGGGAGGGGAAGAAAGACTGGCACACCACGTGAGCAAGGGGATTTTCCTGAAGTGCTAATCCTAACTTCTGGCAAGACTTCGCATTGTCTTTGGGCAAGGTGGCAAACTGGGACAAAAAGAGAAAGAATTGAAAAAGGTAAGCATTTTTAAGTTAGAAAAAATTCAGGACAGCAGTGAAATACACTGGGTACTGCCTTTGACTGGCATAGGGTGGGATGTCCACTGAGATAAATGAGAATTGCCCTGGAATTCCGAGTCTCTAGGATGAAGCGCGCAGGTGATCCCCGGTAGTCTAACTGCCTCCACGCCCACCTGGCACTGCAGCGCCCTCTGCTCCACCGCTTTGCCGGGAGACCCGCCGGGCCGACCGCGAGGGGCACGGAGCGCGCATCGGGGCGGGAACTAGTCCTCACCTCACCTTACTGCTGCTCGGGACCCGAGCCCCGACGGGCGAGCGCGGCGGCACCGGCACCGGCACCGGCACCGGCACCGGCACCGGCACCGGCACCGGCACCGGCACCGGCACCGGCACCGGCACCGGCACCGGCACCGGCACCGGCACCGGCACCGGCACCGGCACCGGCACCGGCACCGGCGGCGCGGGGAGCGGCGCGCGCCGTCCGCGGGCCGGGGGCGCCGCCTGCTGGACGCGAGGCGGCGCGCGCGGGGGCGGCGGGGGCGGGGCCGCGGGCCCGGGCGCCCCGCCCCGCCCCGCCCCGCCCCGCCCCGCCCCGCCCCGCCCCGCCCCGCCCCGCCCCGCCCCGCCCCGCCCCGCCCCGCCGGCTGCCCGTCCCGTAGGGCGACCCGGGGCGGGGGGCACCGCGCAAGGTCCCCCTGCCCGACGCCCTGCGCGGGCAGCGTCGCCTGGGACCGGCCACCCAGCACCGTGGGCATCGCCGGGCCCGGAGACTCCGCTGGGGCAGCCGAGGCACCGCGGTGCCAACGTCGCCCGCCCTCACGGTGGAAAAGCGTTTCCTGATGTTCAGAGGTGCCCGCTGGCTCCGGTCCTGTCACTGGGTGCAACGGGGAGGAACCTGGCCTCTCATCTTCAGACCCTCCCATCGGGTGTTTATACACATTAGTAAGACCCCCTGAGCCTCCTCTTCTCCAGGCTGAACAGTCACGGTCTTTCCTCGTAGGACGGACGCTCCAGCCCCTTAGTTATCTTTTGTGGCCGTTTGTTGGACTCCCTCCAGTTTGCCCATGTCCCTCTCGTACTGGGACGCTCAGAACTGGGCACAGTACTGCAGGGGTGGCCTCACCGGGGCTGAGCAGTGTCACCTCTTTCTCCAGACCTGCTTCTTCTGTTCAGTGTTGAGCTGTGCGTGGGCGAACGCTTCTTCCTATCCCCACAGCCTGGTCTGGCAGCAGAGGTGGCAGCTCACTATCTCCTTGCCTGGGCTGCTGATGGTGTGACCGCCCAGTCCGGGGAGCTACAGGTGAGCAAGGAGCATTGCTTGCCTACAGTGTGCTGTAGCCCCCACAAAAGGTGTCACCAGCTTGTTCTCCTGGGAGGCAGTGTTCTCCCTTCAGCCTCAGGCGGACACACAAGGGTACTGGTTCAGAGCGTGTGGTGGGAGCACACTGAGCTCCCGCATCGCCTCCAAGTCAGAGAAGGAGGCAGAGTACCTTTCAGCAGATCTCCCTGGTGCCTGCGTGTGGAAGAGCGGCACATGCTCTGTACTCAGCCTGTCACGACCTTGGGAAGGCAGCGTCAGCTTCCCTCTCTTGAAAAAACCACGACAGGCCAAGGAGCAGTCAAAGAAGGAGAAGAGCTTCAGTGGAAAATTAATCATTCTGTTGTTTCTTTGTTACTAGCTGTGGCACAGACAATTTCCATTTTATTAACTCAAATAAAAGTATAAACTCAGCCTTTTTCTTAGTACTATTTATTGCGAATGTTGAAATGTCATGTAGTTTCGAACTAAGAGATGAACTGATTAGATAGGTAAGTCATATAATTAATTGGAAGACCCTTCCGTGACAATTATATATATCAAAGCCATTCAAGTGAGAAAAATGCAACCTTGAAAATGAAGTAGAGAGTTTAGTCATTGCTGAAACATACAAGAATATGTGTATTTAGATATTTTACACAAAGGAAATCTTGTTTACAGAAAAGAGACCTTGTTGATTATCTGATACAATCAAGTGCTTGTGAAATATAGTCTCTTACTGAAAGTATTCCATTTCTTCATTATTTAGAGACCTTCTTTCAGCTTGGAGTGCTCTCTTTCATATTCACAACTTGAAGCAGATAGTCCATCATCTAATAAAGAGAGAAAAATATTTGTAGACCAGTCCTGGAAAAAATCATTCACTAAGTTAATAAGCCTAATATATATCTGCTCTTTGTATTCACCTAACAAACGCATTCCTAATAATCTTTCCAAAACAGACCTCATTTGTCTTGGTTAGTATAATAACCAACTGCCAAAGTACGAGGAAAGTCATTCTCCCAAATAATTCTGTGTGCCACCTCATTTATATAGTGCCTCATTAAGTGTTAAAAAGCCAAGTCACATAAACAATTTAAAGCTTATTTTCCAACTTACTTTTACACTTTGGCCAACTTGCAGGAGAGATTTCCCTCCTGATCTTTAACTACTTTAACCGTAATTTATTCATAGAATAAAGAGCAGGCATGATCTTCATTTGCCTGGTATTAACTGAAAACAGAAGAAAATAACTCAGACGTACCAGCCTAAGCCTAATTCTCAGAACTATTATGCTCATCTCTTTGGCTTTTTTGACTATTTGTGTGTTACAGCACTTTCACTACTCTGAGTGAATCTTTTAAAAAGAATTTTTGTATTCCTGAGAAATGTGAGAATTAGTGGTGCATTGAATTAATTTGAGCAAGACCCTAAATTGAGTTACCTGAAGTACGTATCTGTGTTTACTTCTGCAGCCTTTAGCTTTGGGGATTTCTGATCTTAAATTTAAAATTCAAATTTTAAATTACATAAGCTAAATTTGAAAGAGTCCACGAAACTAAGTCCTCATCGTATATTTCTCTGCAACACAGCCTGTCTCCGCACACACAGGGAGAGAGACTCCTTGCCACCAGCACCTCTGCAAATGCATACTCTGACTATGAGAATTATAGCCCCCTCGATGGCGATATGGGCTTGGGACAGCTATTCCATCACCTGACACTAGGGTTCACGATTTACCTTTTTCTGGTCACATTTCAATACCTCAATCCAACTGGCCATTTCACAGCGAATAGTAACCCACTGTAAATATGGTGAGCGGTTCCTCCTAGAATTCGATTCCATTTCAAACTGAAACACAGTATGGCTGGAAAAGCATGTAATGCCAAGTACAAACCTCTCATATGCACTGCACCATCGCTGTCATTTTGCCTGGCCCCCTTCCACCGAGGCAGGTAGCTACCTTCACCACTACTGCACAGGGACACATTCGCTAGCTGTGGCACAGCAGCACCTTAAACAAAGGTGTTGTCTAACCAAAGTTTATGCAACATGGAACCCCTCACATCTAGAAATAGCTACAGCATCAAAACTCAAAGGTCATTTATGCTCTTGTATCACAGTGTACATGTATGACTGAATTTCACATGTGTACCGGAATTCCACTTTTATAAATAAACAAGGCCTCCCTTTATTAAAAAATAATTATTATGATTATTTAAATGTTTAGGAAACTATCACAACCTTCAAAAAAGTAAAGCATGTTCGCTCTTCAGATCCTCTTCATCTGGAAGGCAGATCTCAAAAAGATATATAGCTTAGATTTCAGGTGCTGGGTTTTTACTTTCTGAAGCCAAAGGAAAAATAATATATCGTATCTTATCTAAGCTGCATATAATCAGGTATTTGAGGCCAACAGTAAGAAACCACAGGTTATGTACTACTTTCATGTTTATGTTTTAGTTCAAGATGGAGACAAATTAACTGGAAATCAAAGGTTCTATGGCAAAATGTGGTTCTGCAAGTTGTCATATATCTTAGTCATACGAAATACGTGATTTTTTTCACTAATCATTGGAGAAATCTGGATATTTAAGTCAATAATCTCATTATTACACATATATGTTCAATGTCTGGCCACAAAAACTGTGGATAAAAATTTTGGGTAGAAGTACACACACATGGATATGATTCAACTTACCAGAGGCAACTTTCAGCCTTCAAAAGTCTGATTTATTACCAGATACTTTCAGAAATCAAAATATTTCCCTCTTTACATAGCAAAAGGGAATTTGTTCATCTAATTTGATTACAAAGCTGCATATTGCAGAGCTGAAGATGAGATAGTTTCCTTTTTAGATAGTATTAATCACAGTTATTATAAGCATCACTGTCATGAAGCCATAGCCAGAAAGAAACCCAGAAACAGCATTCATATCATTGGTGTAGGAGACCTAAATCATGGTTTAATTTAATGGGTAAATTTTTACCCATATTCAAGTCAAAAACAAAGTATTCACTGACTGCCCTGCACCAGGATTTCAGGAGGGAGATTGAGCTGAAGTAAGCCCAGGAATATTAATCACATCATATTACAGTAGAATGCGAGAAGAAAAAAATCTTCCCATTAATGTATTTAAAGGGGTTTATTAATCTTTTCATTCTATTTCAATGTCATCCAAAAGAATTCTGCAGCTATATCACCATTACTGTACCTGATATATTATAAATAAAGGAGTTTTCTAGTAAATTATGCAATTTACATTGTCATTTAGACTCTGATTACTCTCTGTAAAACCTGTCCGATATTCTTCCAAGTGTATTTTATAGGATTTTCCAAAAGAATAGAGGTGAATCTGTTCCAGAGTCTTGTTATCTTGTGAAATAGTGCTAATACGTACATCAACTTGAGGGAAGAAGAGGTGGGTCCTAGGCACACATTATAGCTTATCAGGCATATTTTGCAAGACCACAAATGACCATAGCAGTGGCCAGCACCGTCATCTGGGGGAAAAGATGGGCACGAGACAAAGACAAAGCTGGGGACAGCAGAAACTCTCCAGCCCTGCTGCTCTATCTGCCGATGGGCAGTACCTCACAAGCCAGACAAGATGATGACAGCCAGAACGGCACCTCTGGGAGACAGTCACTATGGTGTGGCTTTATATGCAAAATGCACTGCCTTCTTCCTGCCCTCTATACTCACACCTGGTTTTCACACTAGCTTGTTTTTGCTGGCTTAATACCGAACTTAATACGGTTATCTGAGCATGAAGTGCTAGAAAAGAGAATGGAAAGACCAAGCAAATTTGAAGGGAATCCAGACACTAAAATCAGCTTAATGCTTGCTGAGTATCAAACCAACTTGCCCAGTAGCAAATCAACTCATAAAAAATACAATCTGTGAGTGACGATCTGTAATTACGAGTAGAATCTTACTTTACTGAATGACTAGTGCACAAGACGCATCTCTGCTACTTTTCTGGACAATCCACAAGTTAGAGGATGCTGATACATTACTGTAAAACAAAATTTGAATATATGGAGTGTTTTTACAGGCTTTGTCTTACTTACATCTTTCCAACTGCTATTGTCATCTGTCTCCCAGGTGTTCCTGGTATACCAGGGAAGCCCTCCTTTTAAAAAGTGAGCGCTTTTATTTTCATTCCCTTCCAGCAGCCGTAGCAAATATTTCGAGATTTCTTCCCACTGCAGATAGTCTTCCAGCTGCTTGATATTTTCAGGTAATGCTGAAAACGGTGTCTTGTTTTCTTCTTCATAAACATAAGGAAAATCTCCAGTGCTCTTTTTCCCCATTAAGTGTCCTGTAATAACAATGACAGCCACATGAAATCAACCAAAACAGGTATAGATTTGATGGTTCAAACATCAGCTGGAAGATGCTATTGACTGATAGTAAGGAGGGAAGGGGTTAGATGATATCAAAGTTGAAGCACAACCAGGACTGGAGATTCTGTCACAGTGTCACACACAATTAATTTCCTCTGTCTCCTATGCTACATTGTCAGAGAAAAAGTTGCTGAGAACGTGGCAGAGATAACCAAGCATTTTGCCTGGAGCCAGGGAGAGGAACGTGGTAAGTGCTGGAATAAGTGGAGGGAGAAACTGTGGGTTTTAGACATTCCCTGCCTTGACACAGGATGTGAGAACTCCCGCGTAAGCCTATGTTCCAGTGCTAAACTGGACGTGTTTTGATATACCACGTTTTACTGTCATCGAAATTAAATCCTAGCTGACTTTAGGCTGCAAAGGAGACTACTGGGAGGGGAGGGAGAGAGCCAGCACCGAGGAGGATCCTCGAGGCCGGGAGTCCCAGGGCCCCGGCTGGCCCCAGCGCTCCCCAGGGCGCTGGCTGTGCCTCGGGGTGCCAGGGAGCTCCTGGGTCCCGCCCGGCCGCCCTGGGGCTCGGGTCTGGGTTCCTGCATCTCTGAAGAGAGGCAGCGGTAAGAAACACTGCAGCAGATATAAACACGTCAAAGGCGGCGGGGAAAGCTGCGTTACCCGACTCCGGGCAGCGCGCCCGGCCCGGCCGCTACCGGGGAGCGCACGTCGGGGACGCGCTCGCACCGCGCCGCCGGCTCCGGGTGGCACGGCGGCGGCCGGACAGGACCCGAGCGGCAGCGGTGAGGTGCCCAGCACCGGGGGCGCGGCTGCCGCAAGTCTGTCCTCCCGGCCGGCCGCTGTCTCCGGGGGCGCGGGAGCGGCGGAGCCCCGTCGGGCCGGCGCGGAGCCGGGCGGGGCGGGGAGGGGACGGGCGGGCCTCCGGGCAGAGGCGGGCGGGCCGGAGACTTACCCACAGCCCAGTGGCTGCCGCGGGGGTAGATCTTGGTGAGCGCCGGGGACCCGCCGGGCTGCAGCGGAGCCGCTCCGCCCTGCGCCGCCAGCAGCGCCAGCGCCAGCAGCGGCAGCGCGCCGGGCCGCCGCGGGCCGCCGCCGCCCATCCTGCCGCTGCCGGTGCCGGTGCGCCCGGGGCCGCCGCCGCCGCCGCTGCTGCTGCTGCCGGGGCCGCCGCCGGTGTCGCCGAGCCGCCCTCCGCTGCGGGCCGGCTCCGTCTGGGCGAAGCGCTGCTGCCGCTGCCGCCGCCCCCCATTTATACGGCGCCGGGACCGGGTGCGAGCGGAGCTCCCGCGCCTGACGCCTCCTCACGGGGCCGGGGCTGCGGCCGCCCCCCGCGCTCCGTGCTCCGTCCTGCCTCCGCCGGGGGCGGGGGCCGCTGCAGGCAGCCCCAGCTCCCCCCCTCTTCCCCCGCCCGCCTCCCCGCCCTGGCAGTTTGCCGGCGGGGGGAGGCGAGGGGGGTGCGGACCCGGGGGCGCAGCCCGCCGCGGCACCGGGCTGCCCGCCCAGCCGCCGCCGCAGAGCCCCGGGGCCGGCACTTGTTCGACGGGCTTCCCCCGGGGCGCGCCGCTGCCCCGCCGGTGCCCGCCCCGCTCCCGCTCCCGCTCGGCCCGGGCCCCCCCGGCCCCGCACGGCCCCGCACGGCGGGCTGGCCCCGGCCCCTCTGCGCGGAGCGTGCATGGGCTGCTCCCCGCCTCTGCCCGTTGCTGTGCGGGGCCGCGGGCAGTCGGTCCCTGCGCGCTTTCGTACCGATGGAGAGACCGGCCAACATTTCCCTTGGGGTTATTGTCTCGGTGACATCCGAAAAACGGAAACTTCCCAGAAGTTTGCTTTCCCCTCGCCTCCTTTTGCCCGACGTGGTTTGGCGCTCCAAGGGGGCTTGGGCCGCTGTGGGGGAGCTTGGAGCGTGTGGGGCGGGGGCTCTGGGGGTGCCCGGGGCCCCCTCCTCCCCGGGGCCCCGTGTGCGGGCCGGCCCCGCCACAGGCCCCGCACGGGCACGGATGGAGGGGGCGGCCCCGCCGGGGCAGCGGGTGGCTGGCGAGGGGGCTGGGGGGCTGCGGCCAGCGCGGGCGCCGGGTGCGGGATTGCGGGGAGCTGGGTGCGGGGTTCCCGGGGCGCTGGGTGCGGGATTGCGGGGAGCTGGGTGCGGGGTTCCCGGGGCGCCGGGTGCGGGATTGCGGGGAGCTGGGTGCGGGGTTCCCGGGGCGCTGGGTGCGGGATTGCGGGGCGCTGGGTGCGGGATTGTGGGGCGCTGGGTGCGGGGTTCTCGGGGCGCTGGGTGCGGGGTTGCCAGTGGCACCATGCTGTTCACCCTCTGCCACGCGGGATGGGGTGCACACGTGTTAACATTCACTTGGTGAAAACGGTTTCACACTGTTTTCACAGACCAGGGAGCCAGCGTGCCTCAGTTACATTCCTGTTACAGGAACTATTTTCTGAATAAGTTTCGGTTAAAATTAGTCTATCTTGTTTACAGAAAGCATGAAAATGTCCACAGAAATGGTTTGCTGCTCTAGACAAAAATGACTGAACAGGTTAAAATTTTTTACATGAGCTTTTGTGGGAGAAAAAAAAAATAATAATAATAAAAAAAGCTCCAGCAGTTTTTAAGCATGAGGAATGTCTGTAACACAACCGAACTCAAAGGACAGCATCACTTGAAGCTCATTGAAATACAAGACCTTGTGCAAATAGTTTATTTTTATTCCCCTTATCACTTAAATTTACTGTCACGGGTGATGGTAGTGTGACTCACAGATTTACAGGACTTTCTTCTTTCTTTGCATAGAGACCGGGTAAACTTCCCAGTACTCTATGGGACCTGGAACTGGCCAACTTTGTGATAGTTAATGGATGAAAAGATTTCCATCCTGAAGAGACAGTGCAGGGGAAAAGATGGATGAATCACTGAAGGAGAGAATATATGGCTTTAAAGGCCATGCAGAAGTGGAACTCTTAAATGCATACTCAACTTCAGGCATGTAAGTAGTTCCACTGAAGTGAAGGTAGATGAGTCGTAGAGAGATATCAAGTCCTGATGTGCTGATTGTCCCAGAGGAGAACAACAGGGACAGAGATGAAGTCATGTGGAATCAGAACAGTTTATGTGATGATTTTGCTGCCTAGAGAACTGTGTCAGGAAGCAGGATACACAGTTAACAGAGCTGCCTGTGAGGAACTTGCCAGATCCTTCAGCTAACCCTGCACGACTGGAACTGAACCATACCCAGTGGAAACTACTGTGGATGTGAATTAACATAATTACTGGAAAAACTATCTAGTACAATCACTTTTGAAGTCAATTGTGTATCCTACTGTATCAGCTAAATCGTTCCCTTGTTTAGTCTTAGTTTATTGCATCTTGTTTTACTGGTCAATGTGATTCATTCTTTTATTGTGGTTATTAATTATGCATTCTTGTTTAATTTACAATAGTATTCTCATGCCTCAATCATGAGTTTCACTGTGCAGCCTGCAGTACAGCTACAGACAACACGTGCTCTGTGCTGGGTGACAGCTGATCAAATACAACATTGCCATCCATGGGAAATTCTGATTGTTCATTGCAATTCAGGACAGGAAATTGAAAAATCAGGAAACTCCATTTTCAGAAAAAAAAAAAAGAAAAAAAAAAGAAAAAAAAAAAAAGAGTCAGAATATTTATTTGGCTTTCAGAAGCTGCAGGGGCTGTACTAGAAGCCCTCTGAGTGTCCTTGCCCCCCCATGCTGTTGTGCTGGACCTACCTCAGGCTGCAGCCGGGCCTCCCCGTGGCCTCGGGGACCCTGGCGCAGAGTGCCGTGGTGCACAGCACCAAGCAGCACAGCACCATGGTGCACAGCACCGAGCAGCGCAGCACCATGGTGCACAGCACCGCTCAGCAGAGCACCGAGCAGCGCAGCACCATGGTGCACAGCACCGAGCAGCGCAGCACCATGGTGCACAGCACCGCTCAGCAGAGCACCGAGCAGCGCAGCACCATGGTGCAGAGCGCCGTGGTGCACAGCACTGCTCAGCACAGCACCGAGCAGCAGAGCACAGCCCCTGCACAGCGTGGCTCCTGCTGCCCCTTGCTTCATCCCTGGTTGCTCCAGGAGCCACCACCAAGGGTTCCCTCAGAGCAGAGCCAGGGGAAGCGGTCACCAGGTCATCTCCCCAGAACTGCCACACATGTGCAAGTTAATTTAGGAAGCTGGGTGGTTCCTAGTGCTACATTCAGCACGGTACTTTGTTACTTTCACCTGGTTTTGCTGGCTTTGCTTCTGTTGCTTTATGTAGGGCTTATTGAGGATTAACAACACTAAGCAATATTGAAACCTTCTGGCCAATACAGTGCATACAACACCCATGCTGTTGGTAAACTTTGGCTAGTAATGCCAAACCATGAATTCCTACTCAGTTCCTCATTGCCCAGTAGTCCTAAGCCTCTTTTACCACAAACACTCTGCAAACAAATAAACGTTTCTCATACTTTGTATATATACTACATCTTCATACATTTCGTGTGTTAAAGGTTGTGTCTTCACATTAAATCTCATTTTGCACTGCCCTAAGCTACATTAATTTGAGATTGTTCCTTATATACTTTCATTTTTATACCTTATATTATGGCCTTAATGAAAGTTTAAATTAGTTTACCCTTTAGGTGATTAAAGGTACAGTGAAAAATACTGATTTAGAGAGCTGATCAAATTTGGGGTTGAATTTCCTTTTTAATTAGGATTAGCTTTTTAAGTGGAGGGATATTTTTGCTGAAAAACCCCACATTTTCAGGGTTTTGTCATAAAACAAATACAAAAATCTGTTTCACTACTCTAAACAGTCAAACTGGGTTATTTGAAGCAAACCACCAACAAAAACTCAGTGAGATGATTTTCCATTTTTCTGGAAAAGAAAAACAATAAGTTTTTCAAACTAACGGAGCCCTACAGGCCTGTTTATGTCTTTTAGTTTTACCTTTGCTTTTATACTGACAGCCACTATGAGACCCTTCTCTCTCTTCGTTGAGTGTGTTCAGTGGAAGTTTATTCTTACTGTTTTCAAAAGAAACAGACCCTAGTAAGGTCTTTAATCCCATGATCTGCACGTGTCTTGAATCATGCAGATATAGAACTGACACAATAATGGGCCTGAAATACTGAGCCCTCATCAGGCTCCCAAACGTGTCTGTAGGAAGTGTTGGAGGCAGACTTGTATTTTTCCAAAGCAGCCAAGGCTGCATGACTTAGTCTTTCTCTAAAACATATTGCATTATTTGTAATATTTGCTGGACATGTCACAAGCTCTGCTTCACTTATTTACAAGATACAGCTGGGGCTTTCTTCTGCCTGGTGAAATGCTTGCATAGCTTTTGGGATCAAAATGTCTACCAGGATGTTCTTAGGACCTTGCTCATCCTCTTGTCAGAATGACCGGCCATCAATTTTGCAACCCAAATTCGTCGTTGGGGTACACCGGCCCGCTCTTCCGCACCCTGCAGGGGCAGAGAAGGGGCGCAGCGGGGCGAGGAGAAGGCGATGCGGCGTGGCTGTGCCCGAGCGGCTGTGCCCGAGCGGCTGGCGGGCGCGGGGGGCCCCGGCGCGGGCTGGGAGTAGGACGCTGCCGCCCCGGCCGGTGGTTGCCAGAGGCCCTGCCGGCCGCCGAGCAGGAGCGAGGGGCCGGGGCTGCTGCGTGTGAGTGGTCCTGGGCACAGGGCTGAGCGCTGGCGGCTGCATTGCCGAGACGAGCGCTCCTTAACCGCAGCGGAGCATGTGCTTGAGCAATGCTGCTTGCTCATGGCCTTACAGGAATTAGGCAGATACCTTAATTATATGAACTAACGACATCTCTTCAATAATACTCTCGTGGCTTGACACCACCCCAGCCCCCCTTTGGGCCCTTAGTGGCTTTTGTTGAGCAGGAGAAAATGCAGAATTTGCTTTTTAAATGGGCAGTACATCTGCACTCCTTGGCCTGTGGTGAGTGTGACAGAAAAAGGTCCCTGCCCACAGCCTCCCTGGTGAGACCCCTGGGGCCGTCCAGCGCTGTCCCAGACAGGACAGCTTGACCAAAGGGGTCCTCTGCTTGCCACAGCCGATGGCTCCTGGGAGGAGGTTGAGCTGTGAAGGAAGAAACTGCTTCTTGACATATTTATTATGCCACGATCACTGGGAACTGTAGGCCTTGATGACTTTTCATAGGCAGAGTTATTGCCTGCATGCCATGGCTCATATCCCCTCCAACTCCAGGGATTTACTTGGCCTAGGCTGGCGGTTGCTCTTTTTATCATGTGCCTTTCTCTGATAGCACTTTTGGACTAATGGGGCATGAATTAATGCATTATGTACTTTAGCATGTCTTTTGTGGGGGTCACAGCTAGAATTGGGTTGCAAACAGTTCAGCAAAGGGAAACCTGACTGGAAAAACTCAGCACTGAAGCAGAATAACCCGATCCCTAATAAATAAAACCAAAACATCCATTTAATACTAAGACAAACCACTGTAAAGATGCTGAAATATTATAATACATAAAT